CCGAAGAGAGCTTGCCAGCTCAAAAACAAAAGTCCCATCGTGGTGTTTCCATGGCTCGACGGGGCCTGGGCCCCCGCGCCCTCCGAGCTTGGGGGTCCCGGAAACGGTGCGGTGACAGACCGTGCGGTGGCCTCGGAACCCCAGGAGACCTCCCCGCCCGGTCCGCCACCGCACGGCCCTGGGGCCCCGCGGCCGCGGGAGGCCCCCGTCGCCCGAGACGTCCTCGGAGCACGGCCCGAGCCCCAAAGCCGCGCGGCGGCCCCGCACCCCCTCCGACTCACCGCACGGTGTGGTCACCACACCGCTCTTCCCCGACCCCCTCGAGTCATGAAAAAATCATGACGAGAGGTTTCTCGCTATTTTCGGCCTCCAGGGGCCCTTACTCCGGCCCTCAGGACCGTCAACAAAACGACTCGGGATGAAAAGCCGGTCCCGGGGAAGGGGTCCGGACCTCTGGGGGTCGCGTCATGACAAAATCATGACGCCGGGGGTCTGGGAACGGGGCGGTGACCGCACCGTGCGGCGAGTCGGTGGGGACCAAGCCTGGATTCAAGCAGGTGCGCAGGGTGCGTGGCAGCGCTGTGCGCCACAGGAAGGAGGAGGAGGCGGAGGAGGAGGAGGAGGAGGAGGAGGAGGAGGAGGAGGAGGAGGAGGAGGAGGAGGAGGAGGCCGGCGGGGTCCCTCCGGGGGCGGAGGGGCGCTCGAGCGCGCCGAAGAGCTGCGGCTCAGAGCGCGCGCCCGGCCCAGGCGGGAGGCCGGCCCTCCCTCCGGGGGCGGAGGGGCGCTCGAGCGCGCCGAAGAGCTGCGGCTCAGAGCGCGCGCCCGGCCCAGGCGGGAGGCCGGCCCTGGCCTGGCGCGGCCGGCCCGCGCGCGCGCGCACGGGGCACCGGCCCCTCGCTCGTGGGGGGGGGGTCGCTCTGCGGGGGCCTCGGCGGGCGGCGAGTGCGGGGAAGTCCCTGGCCCCTCCGCCCCCGGAGTGACCCCGCCGTCCTCCTCCTCCTCCTCCTCCTCCTCCTCCTCCTCCTCCTCCTCCTCCTCCTGCTCCTTCTCCTCCTCCTCCTCCTCCTCCGCCTCCTCCTCCTTCCTGTGGCGCACAGCGCTGCCACGCACCCTGCGCACCTGCTTGAATCCAGGCTTGGTCCCCACCGACTCGCCGCACGGTGCGGTCACCGCCCCGTTCCCAGACCCCCGACGTCATGCTTTTGTCATGACGCGACCCCCAGAGGTCCGGACCCATTCCCCGGGACCGGTTTTTCATCCCGAGTCGTTTTTTGACGGTCCTGAGGGCCGGTAAGGGCCCCTGGAGGCCGAAAATAACGAAAAACCTGTCGTCATGATTTGTTCATTGCTCGAGGGGGTCTGGGTTTGGGGAGCCCCCGCCCCCCCTCCGCGCACTGCCGCCCCCCCCCCCCTTCCAGGGCCCCCCGAGAGGGGGGCCCCCGCCGGCCCCGCGGGCGGGCGCGGCGCCCCGCGCCCGCTCGCGGGGCCCGAGAGGGAGCCCACCGCGCGCACGGGCGGCCCGCGGGGGCCCTGCGAGGGGCCTGCGGCGCACGGCCTTGGAGGGCGGCCGATGGGGGGGGGGCGAATAGGCTTCAGGAGGAGATGGAGACGCACAGACACAGCGAATCGTCGATGCCCCAGGACCTATGGGAAGATCATGGGGGGAGTGGGGGGGGCCCAAACGTGTGGGAAAATGTGTGGGGAATCGTTCTATTCGTGTGTATGTATCAGTGTGTGTGGGGAGTGGGGAGTGGGAAGTGGGGAGTGGGTGGGAGTGGGCGTGGGAAATGTGTGGGAAGATAATGTGGGGAGTGGGTGGGAGGAGAAAAGACCCAAACGTGTGGAAAAATGTTTGGGGAATCGTTCTATTCGTGTGTATGTATTAGTGTGTGTGTCCCAGGGCCCCTTCCAGGTCGTTCGTCGGCGGCGAGGCAGGGGCGGGGTCCGCTCCGGAGACTGGCGACGCGGGCCAGCCGGATGGCCAGTCGGCCGGCAAGCGGGAGAGGGAGAGGTAGTAAGGCACCAACTATACACCAGCACCGATCCTGGCCAGGATCACCCTGGGCCCAGGATCGGTGTGTACGCCCTCCTGCCTTGCGCAAGAAGGCATATACCCAGACCCCCGACGTCATGACTTTTTCATGACGCGACCCCCAGAGGTCTGGACCCATTCCCGGGGACCGGCTTTTCATCCCGAGTCGTTTTTTGACTGTCCTGAGGGCCGGTAAGGGCCCCTGGAGGCCGAAAATAGCGAAAAACCTCGCGTCGTGATTTTTTCATTACTCGAGGGGGTCTGGGTACACCGATCCTGGGCCCAGGTGGATCCTGGGCCAGGATCGGCGTTGGTGTATAGCTGGTGCCCTCCGAAGCGGGACCCGGGCGGCCGCGCAGAGCGGACGGGGGGGGAGAAGGGAGCACCCAGACGGCGAAGGGGGGGGGGGGCAACTCGGGCCAACCGCATGGCCAGGCGGCCGGCGAGCGGGAGAGGGAGAGGGACCGGGGCGGCCACGCCGAGGACGGGGGGGAGAAGGGAGCACCCAGACGGCGAAGGGGGGGGGGGGCAACTCGGGCCAACCGAATGGCCAGTCGGCCGGCAAGCGGGAGAGGGAGAGGGACCAGGGCGGCCTCGCAGAGGACGGGGGGGAGAAGGAGCACCCGGGCGTGGAAGGGGGGGGGGGGCCAACACACAAGCGCCCAAGACGCTTCCGCCGGCCCTTCTCATCAGGATGCGCATTAAAGGCGTGTTGTCCTGCTCCTACCCCACCTCCTGCTAACCTCTCTCGTGCTCCATCCTTCTCGCTCCCCCTTGCCCCTTCCCTCCTCCCTCCCTTCCAGCACGTCTTTCGTCCTCGCTGTATGCATGTTGTTCCTGTCTCTCTCCCCTGCCTGTTTAAGGGGCACGTGGAAGGTAAAGGAGGTATACACCCACGGACGGTAGGTTGGAAGACGAAGGGGGCGGGTATTGAAGGTTTGCGATACAGTCGGTAAGGAACGCTACATCAGGAACGAAGCACCTTCTTGGCACCAGAAGCGACTGCGAACACGAGGAAGCTAGGGGAACAGCCATGGAAGGACCTAAGGAACCTCGAGCCCCTTCCGAATGCAAACTGTTCCTTATTTCAGCGACTTGGCTGTACGCATGTTGAATGGCACACGAGCAGATAAGAGCGAAGTCTGATCATGTTCACAGTTGAGTTCGAGTCCGCACATACATAAGATACTGTTAGCCAGCGTGGACCCTTCATGGTGAAGTATTCGAATCTGCGTGATGCAACCTACGTGAGGAAATCTGTGTGGTGCAAGTTATGCAGTGCTACCTGTGTGGAACCATGATGTACGACATGTGCGAGCGCGTGCGTGCCATGGCAACCGATGCGGCTGCAATCGATTGGATGGCAAGCGTCGCTTCGATTGCACTCGATTGGGCTGCAACGGGGGGGAAGGCAGGAGGGGTGCCACGGGGCGGCGGCGACGGGATGGGGCGGCGACGGCGACAACACTGAAGGGGAATTGGGACACACAAATAAATACACACAAATAAAAATATCCCCCATATTTTCCTATATTTTCTGGGTTTTTGTCTTCCCCCCCACTTCCCATATTTTCCCATATTTTCTGGGAATCGCCGATTAATTGTGTCTGTGTGTTTTTTCCCCTCCTGAAACACAGCCGCCGGAACGGCGGTCGGGCCCCGACGACGGGCGCAGACGAGGCGGCGGCGGGGCGGCGACGGCGACGACAAAAGCCGCCAGAAAAGCGGGCAGGCGCGGTGCCTCAGGACAGAAGTGGGTGTTGATCCCCTCCTCCGGTGCTCGCTGTTTTTTTCAGTGGAAGGGCCAGTCCTGGGACTCGAAACTTACACTCTACAAGGGAAAAGCTTGCGCCTCAGACTGCGCCCCTGGCCGCCTCTACACCACCACCAACAACAACAATAACAAGAACGGCTTCCGACTGATACCTCCTCACAGAAGTGAGCAAAATCGCGCTGGCGCTTGAGACATCCTGGCCATTCATCTAGGGATCGCGCTCTCGTCTGGGACCTCCTGACATTTTTTTCACGAACTGATCTCTCAGCGCTCTGGAATCGCACTCTCGTTCGGGACCTCCTCAAAAAACTACTCGGGAATCGCGCTCTTGCCAGAGACACCCTTACGATGTAGTCACAAATCGCCCTCTCGGCGCTCTGGAGTCGCGCCCTCGCTTTTGACTTTCATGCCATCAACCCTTGCCAATCCTTCTCGTCCTCTATCATCTCCCTCCCTCCCCCTCGACCCCATCCCTCTTCCTATCTTTCCTCCACTCGCCTTCTCCTTGCCATCTCCCCTGTTCAGTCTTTCTGTTCTTCCTGTTCTCAAGGCTGCGCCAGTTAGTAATGTCACGTGGCAGGGAAGGAATATACATCCCCCAGAGGTCGGGTGTCAAAGGTTTGGGATGTACATGTTTAATGGTACGCGAGCTTGATTATGAGAGCGAACAAATCTCAAATATGAATGTTGCTGTTGCCGTCGGCCCCCCACGACCTACCCGCGCCCAACTCGCGACCCACCCCACGACCCACCATACGACCCAACCGCGACCCACCCGCGACCCACCGCGACCCACCCCGCGCCTGCCCCCTCACTCTTTGCCGAAATTGCGGGGTGCCACGTGCCATTCCTTATCATGCTCGGGACACATGTCAGCAACATCGAGCAGCGGAGCACAAGGTCGGGCGCCCGACTTACCACTGAATGTGTTTGACCCCGCTGGGCAAAGGAGGGGAACACTAAGAGAGGGCCGCGATTGCAAAAAATTGGAATGATGGGACCGACGCTTACGACCCGTTATGCGGCCGATGCGCGCCCTGACTATTCAATTCGTGCTCAAGCATGCCCCTGGAACCTGTCATTGGTTCGATCGTGCTTGCGCTTCGTTGAGCTGCGCTGCGCGCAAGCCGTGGGAAGCCGTGCACAACTCTGGCCTCCCCAATGGGCCCGAAGAGTTGGGAAGCAGGATGCGGCCTCGACAGATCAAGCTCCTCGGCGATCGTGTCGAACTCCTCGGGGCCCAGGATCTGTTGGAGGGATGCCACCGCGTTGGGGTTGGGGGTGAGCTCCAACCCGACCATGCGCCTCACCAAGTCGGCTGCCATCGTCTTCATCCTTTGCCTCGCTGCCTCGGGCTGGCGCCCGCACGCCACGATGATGTCGTTGTACGCCTCGGCTGGGTGCTCCATCGGGCTCCCACATACCGATGGCGGGACTTGCTGTCACGGCCCAGGGAGAAGATGCGCCGCATTCACAGCTTGGTTTAGGTGGGGCATGTCAGGCAGATTCTGGAGGAGAAGTGAAGCAAATAGTCAAGCAATACTCGAGAATGGTCAACAATTGCGAAACATCGTCCCCAGACTATTTAGTAACTATTCCTGAATATTCCTCCTGTAGAGGGACAGGCCCGATTGCAAGCTTGGTGCCCGATCAGCTCGATAGAATCCAATTACCTCGCTACACGGTATACCCCTTGCTACCGGCGACCCGGCACTCCTCACACGGCCGCGAGGATCGGGGGGCCACGAAGGGGCGGGGCACCTGAGGGGGTACCACACTGGGCCACCGAGCTCGGGGGCTGGGCTTACCCACGGGGTGTCAGGACATGGCATCTGCAGGAGAATAACAAAACGGCACAGTCATAGACGTTTGGCGCTCCGCGCAGATTCCTTGGATCTGCGCTGGACCGTTCTCCCTGGCGCGTGGAGCGCGACAGGGGCGGCGCCGGAGGCGCTGCCGGGGGGGCCCAGCGCAGGTCCAAGAAATCCGCGCGCAGCGCCTATGGTGCTTCCCTTCTTCCACTACGACCCTTACGGACAAGCCGATCCCCAAACACGCTCTAGCATCTAGCACAAAGGATTCGTTCTCACCTGGCCATGAGGACACCGTGCTTCGATCGGAGGGGACGAAAGGGTAGGATAGCAAACGGCAGGGTAGAGAATCAGCTCACGTAGCTGGTTTGCCTGGCGCCTCCTGGAGCCGGGAGGCGCCTATGCATCGAGGAATGGACGCGGTGGCGGGGCCGAAACCAGCGGCATGCAGCAGATTCTTGTACCCCCCGTTTCCCAATCCCACCTTTCGCTCGGCCGATGCGAGACCTCTGCCAGCTCTGCCGATGTGCACTCCCCTGAGATCCGACGTAGCGGAAAAAATACAACATCGTAAAAATCACCGCTGGAGCCCCGGACCCCATCTTTCTGCGTTATTTCTCGAGCCCGATCGATATGCGAGGACCCGGGGACCCGAAAAAGTGCGAAAACGCCCGTCTCGAAAAAATTACGTCGCCAGGATCTCAGGGTCTCTCCGGGGTCGGCTACACGCAAGAGTGACCCTGGGTAAGGAGTGACCTCTGGTGCGCAACTTTCTGAGGGGCCGCGGGAGGGCCAACACACAAGAGCGCCGGAGGCTACTATCGCATCGCGTTCGGCGATCGGGGGACCCCAACGGGCCCGCACCGAAGGTCACTCCAGCGAAGGGCCACTCCTGCGTCTTGTCGAACGGGGTGCACCTTTCGATCGCGGAGCCGCCCTCGCCCTGCTTCCGCCGGCCTCCGCGGGACTCCCGCCGCCCTGGGCCGAGGAGGAGGAGGAGGAGGAGGAGGAGGAGGAGGAGGAGGAGGAGGAGGAGGAGGAGGGGGAGGAGGAGGAGGAGGGGGGAGAGGAGGAGGAGGAGGAGGAGGAGGAGGAGGAGGCCGAGGAGAGGGCAACTCCGTCGGCCCTCGCGGGCGAGGCCCCCCTCCGCAGCGCTTCACTGGGTGGGGCCTCGAGCGACGGAGCGGAGGGCAAGGCGCTCGCGGAGGCCCGCGCCCAGGATACGGGCTGCCGGGCACCGGAGGCATACAGAGCGCCATCTTGCCTCGGAACGCCTGCCTGCATCTCAGTCCCACTTCCCCTTTCATCGCCCCTCAAACGGGGACTCCACTAACGGGTACTTTGGCCAGTGACCCAGCGAACCCAACCCTTCCCGATGTGGGCAAAGCTGCAATGCAAGAAAAAGGCCCTAAAGTGGCAACTCTCGGCAAAATTTCAAAGTACCCGTTTGTAAGTACCCGTTACGGTGCCGTTGACCCTTGTTGGCCCTCCTGGGGGATCCTCGTCGCCACTGCTGGATGCGCCTCGGAGTTCTGGTCAGAGCGCACCCCGGGAGAGGTCTGGAGCGTAGCGGTAGCGGCACCTTTCGGTTTCCCAAGGCCGCGCCCATGACGTGCTGCCAGGCTCTGGAAGCAACAGAGCGCCATCTTGCCTCAGAACGCTCGCCTTCATCTCTCGGCGGCGAGCGAAGGGGGGAAGCGAAAAGGAGAAGGCCTACTCAGAGGGCGGCAACTCTGAATCCCTCGCGTATTCCGAGAAGTTGTTGCTTTCTTCGGGGGAGGCTTGGAAAACTTTTCAGAAGGCTGGGGGTCTCCCAAGTCTTCTGCGAAGGCCTTCTCGTTCTCACTTCCTCCCCTCCCTCGCAGCCGAATCTCGGTCTGTCCGCCGTCTGTGCGCGATCGTCCTCGTAACCGACCGCCTGTGCTGTCATCTGTCTTCGAGCGCAGCGAAACTTCGCGGCCTTGCCGCACACGACCCTGGGCTAGGGACAACAACAGGGCAACTCAGGAAGCAATCAGATCCCAGAGATCCGGTCTCGAGAACTTCCAATACAGGGTCGCCGGAAGTCTCGACCCATTCCCCAGGACCAGTTCCTCATCCTGAGTCTTTTTTTTGTTCGCGGTCCGGGGGCCCGGCGAGGGCCCCTCGAGACAGAAACGTGCGAAAAACCTCCGCCTTGAATCGTCGGTGCCTCTGGGATCCGCAGAGGCACCGACGAGCGCTCGGATGCGTCCCTGCTGGGAGCACAGGAGTGGCGCCGCGGCAGGCACGCGCACTGCGCTGGGCGCACGCGCGAAGAGGGGGCGCAACGCCACCGCGCGCGAGCGCCCATCAGCCTGCACCGGGCACGGCGCACAGTTTACAGTCGGATTTGATTGGAGAAAACACGCGAGAGGACACAAGACCCTTCCGAGGGCAACATAACTGCAGGAAACATGGGTCGCAAGACGCAGGACACGAGGGTACCCTCGATTTGGCAGGGTCGACCGACTAATCCGGGCCGGCTGCACAACCAGTCTGCGCCAGGCACACCAGCCGCAGCCCAATCAGCCTACACCAGGCACAGCGCCCAACCCACCTGCCCGTCCAGTGGAGGCCAGCCCACGAGGAGCCTCCCGCAGGAAGCCCAACCCTGAGACCCACAGGGCGTCCATGGACCTTCGGCGTGGGAACGCCACGCTCTCCAAGGCAAAGCCAATGAAACCCAAGAAACACAGGGCACCCTGGAGGTGGGCCCCCCCACTGTAGGCCCACCCCACCACTAGCCAGCCTGCGCCAGCGTGCAGTGCCACGGCGCGCGAGAGCCAGGCCGGTGCCCGCTAGAGATTAAGACGGGATCAAGCCAAAGACAATAATGGCAACTCGCGTGAGCTTCCCATTGCCGGCTCTTGCGAATGAGCGCCAATCGACGCTACATCGACGCTAGTCGACGCTACATCGACGCCAATCGACGCTAAATCGGCCTTATCTCATCGACTCCAGACGCCAATCGGCGCCCATCGAAGCTGAAGACGGAATTCACAGGGTACGCCAGGCTCCCATGATTTGCCACCGAAGGACAAGGAGAAAACGGGGCTCTCTGATCTCTGGCAGTCTCCGAAGGATTCCCCCGGCGCCGCGGCCTTCGCAAAGCGTTCGGGGATGACTAGGCGCGAACGCTCTGGGGCGATTTCAGTCTTTTGCCTGGATTGTCAGAATCCCTGCAATACGTTCCAATAGTATATCATGGTCAGTGGGCTCCGCCGATGACATGGGGAAGCAAGGATAATGCTGCAAGCATTCACTAAGGTAATATTGAAGGGAGGAGGCCGGCCCGTCGGCCGACGCACGCTCGCGCGCCGCAGGCTCGCATCTTTTCCGTTGCCCTAGGGCCAAAGAGGCATAGCTGCGGAAGCAGAAGCAGTCAGTTCATCAGACAGTGCGCGCAAGGCAATGGAGCACACAAGGCGAAAGGATGGTGGTGCGGAAAGGGTGCATTGGCTACTTATCAATGACATGGCACCACCCGGCTCACCTCCAGCGTTCAACCGCGGTCACAACTTTTCAGCACTGGCGGGGCGCCATTGCCACGCGCCGGGCGTTCTCGCCGAGTCTCGGGCACCGCGAGGCCCTCCAGGCTCCATCCGCGACGACCGAGCGACCACCGGCGCAGGCGGGTGCCTGGCAAGTCTGCGCTGGATCGGATCGTGAAATCGGAGCGGACGAGATCGGATCGAATCGCCGGCGAATCGTCCCGAACCGGATCGCTATCGAACCGCCGCGCCCCGTATCCGGCTGGCCCTGGCCGATGCCGGTGAACGGAGCCAGATCGCATGGAACTGGAATCGCGGCCCCAACTGGCGAATCGAATGGCATCTAATCGGATCGTAGGCGGTCCTGCCTGGGCCACGCCAGGACCAGGTGGAACAGGCCGTGCGGGCGAGGGGTCCTGATCGAAAACTCTCGGGGAGGGCGCCGCAGCACCCTCACTCGTGTCCGTTCCCATCATATTTGTTATTGCTACTCTTAGAAATACGATTAGTATTGTGTTGATCAGTGCGTGGTCGAATTAAGTCTACGATCGCTACTATGATCACGACTCGTATCATCAGCAGTCCTGCTATTATTACGACTCATAATTTTACTGCTATTTCTCCTCCTCCTCTTCCTCCTCCTCCTTCCCCTTCCACCAAACATTCACCGGAGTTTGAGCAGGGACGCGCTCCGTGGAACTCACGATTCTTGTGCTCGCCTTCCTGCTCCTCCTGTTCATGAACCCTCCACTCACTTGCCTGCTAAGCAACTCCTCCCTGTCGCACCCTGAGGCCGAACGGAAGGGCGGGCCAGGCGTTTTGCCTGAGACTTCCGTCACAGATATGAGCCTCAAGCGTGGAAACTGGGAACAGCTTCGCACATGGAGGGTGGGCCGCTTCCAACATGTAGCTCTCGTCTTATCGCAGCGCACATTCGTTTTGTCTTATTGGACGAATTTGACGGCTTGAGGGCGGGCCGTTTCCAAATGTGGCTCTCGCCTCAACTCCGCGCGCATTCGTTTGAAAAAAACGAAACTTCTCGGATTGAGGGCAAGTCGTTTTTGAAATGTGGTTCTTGCCCCAGCGCTGCTGTAGCGATAGCGATTGATATGCATATCATCACCGAAGCCAAAGGGACCTGATCCTGTGACTGCTTCCAGGCCGTGCCATGTTATCTCCTGCAACGGGGTGTCCCCGACCCCAGCTTTCAATCCACAACACGCCCCCTTGGAATTCCGGCGCGGGGGACCGAATCGAGACTTCAACCGACTCCCCGAAAAGAGAACTCACAAATTTGGAAGGGCTGGGGCGTCCCCCAAGCTAAATATCTACTGCTCTAGCTGGCCAACTCCACTCATTCACCCAAGGGGTGAAAGCTCAGGTATCATGCACGGTGGAAACGAGCGGAAGTTCAGATCAATCTCGCTCTGGCCGGGACAGCCGAGCGATTGCCTCCAGGAAAGCTCGCCGCGCTCCGAGAGCGCCGCGCCCGAGCAACCGCCCCCGCGTCGAATCCACTTCCCCCGCCTGTTCGTTATTCGCCACGACCTGGCCCATGTCCGCGTAGATGCCGCTCAGAGCCCTGGGCTTCCCGAGCAGGTCGTGTCCGAGAATCTTCGCGCCCAGGTCTGCCTTGTCGTCGTCCGTCCTGACGGTCCCGATGTCGATCAGCTCGCGCTTGATTGTCTGCTGGAGCCAGAACACTCGCGCCTCCAGACCCCTGGCTCTGCCAACTCCTTCGCGTCGGGCAACCCCTCGGGCCGCCGACAAATCCGCGAGTAGCGTAGCCGCCACTGCGAAGCGCATGAACTCCAGCAGCGACTGGAAAAAAGAGAATGTCCTCGGCGATCGCCGTCGCCGCGCAATACTCTGCAAGACCTGAGCTGGCAGCCGCTACCGTCCGGCGCCTGCTGAAAGAATGCATCGGAACTCCGTCGACCTCGACCTTGCCACTTGATTGTGACCGCCTCGTGAGCAGATCGCCGAGATCGCCTGCCCAGTCGCTGTCGCCATAACCCGCCAGCTCAACGTCGGTGACCTCCGTCGGCTTCGGAAGCCAATTCACCGCGCCCCTGGCCCCTCGAAGGTACCTGACGAGCATCTTCAGAGCTGCGCAGGCGCCGACGGCGGGGCCAGACAGCACCCCGCCAAGAAGGCTGAATCCGCACTGGCAGTCCGCCCAGTCCTGAGCGCAGCACAGCAGTGCCACCACGCGTGAGCGGTAGACGCCAGCCTGCTGCTGAGACAGAGCGGGGGCACTCCCCATGAGTGCCGCGTGAGCTGGCACTCTTGGGCCGGGTGGGTGTTCGAGCTGTCCAGGCCAAGGGTGTCCAGGAGTCCAAATGCATGGGGTGCGCCTGCAGCTCCGCCCCGTGCTCTAACCTTGTCCTCAGCCTCTTCAGGTACTCGTAAGTGGCGCCCACTCGTCGATCTCACCGCCTCTGATGGTCACGCGCAGCTTGAGCTCCTCGCGGAAGCCCCCCAGCGCGCCCCTCAACCAAACCATGTGCAGGTCGCCCATGTGCAACTCCACCGTCAACTCGCTCTCGGGATGGCGGAAGAACTGCGGGGCTACCTCGCGCCTCGTCACGTGCATCCGTGAGGGTGCCCGCCATGTGCTCGACCCGACCTGGCGCCGCTGGGCGCCTGCCAGGTACCTGCTTCCTCAGCTTCCAATAGATGTCCGTGTCCTTGCCTTCCGCCTTGAGCATGTCCAGGTACTCCTGCGGGAGGTCCACCACCGCGTCCTCTTACTCGGGCGCCTGGTAGAAGGCGTCCGTCGAGTCCAGCGCCATCAACTCGAAGCCGCGCTTGCGAGCCACGAAGTCGATTTCCCTGTTGGAGATCGGAGCCGATCCCGGCGAGAACAGGTCGTCGCGCCACTCCTGCCAGCGGAGCTCGCGGCAGACGAATCGAACCTTGCGCGGCCACTCCCGCTGCGATGGCTTCCGCCTCCACTGCTTCTCTCAGCGCGTGGAGATGCGCATGCCCCCCGTCGCCTCCGACTTAGGAATGTCCACCCCGACGCCGTGGTCCAGGAGGCTCTGCAGGTGCACCAGCGCGAGCCTCTTGTCCAGCTCATCCTGCACGCCAACGTCGAACATGCCCTCGGTCGGGTCCTCGACCACGTCCGAGACCTCCTCCTAGAACACGTCAGGCGAGTCGTCCACGTTGCCATCGTCGAACGCGCGGAGTGCCGCAACTCGGGCACGCTTGCCCTCGGACACTGCTGCCGCTGGCGACACCTCGCGCCCCGGTGCCTGCGAGGGCGCCCCCATGGTCACATCACTCGGAGCCGACGGCACCGGCGCGGGCTGCGGCTGCAGCGTGGCCCCCGCTGCCGCGGGAGGCGCCGGCGGCTCCGCCTGGGTCTGGGCTGGTGCCGCTCCGCCCTCAGGCGCCGGCTGCGCCTGCTGCTGCCGCTTCGCGTCTGCCTTCGGGAGCTCCGTCGCCACCTGCCGTGGTGCCCGTCGTCGCCTCGACCTCTCTGGAGCCGTCCTCGTGGCCCAGGGCAGGCCAGTCGCCGTCGGCAGGAACTCCTTGTCAGTCTGCCTGCCGTCGCACAGTCCGAGCGCGATCGATCCCCCGAGGCGCCATCATCAGGTGCATCTGGGACTCATCAGACCTGCCGACCCAGATCCCGCGGCCCCACTGCGCCTCTCCACGGTGCAAGGGTCGCCCTCCAGTGAGCCCGCGACGCGCTGGCCGCGCTATCCGAGATCGCGCCGACTCGCCGAAGTTGCAGACGTCGCATTTGTAGAATGTCCCTGTAGCAATCTCGCGCGGTGCCTGTCCTCCAGGTCGCCGTGAAAACCTCTCGCGCAGCCGCGCGGCGCGTCGCGTCGCCCAGGCCCAGATCGGCATCGCCGCCGCGGCCCTGGCGCCGCAGCGCTTCTCGAGGGCCAGCCTGGGAACTCGAGTCTGGCTCTCGACGATCTTCGCCGCTGCCTCCGCTGGGTTCGACTGGCTGCTGCGCTCACGGGTCGGCGATGGCGCGACCTTGCCCGCCAGCTCTCTGACCGCTCCGTCCAGGATGGCCTGGGTCGCCTGCCCCGTCTCGGCCCTGACTCTGTACTTGCCAATCTCGAGCCGCTGCGCGAATGACTCGACGCCTGCAATCGCGTGGCGAGGCCGCCTTCGAGGGGCATGGGATAAGCATCGCCACTCCAGTGCCCGAGCTGAAACCCACGAGCATCGTCGCGCACGCGCCCTCCACCTGAGTTACGCCCCCTTCTTCGTCGGCCGTCTTGCAGAGGCCAAAGTCCAACCTGATGGGCGGGGCCGTCTGCTCGGCGCCCCCCAGCCTGACCAGCGAGCGCGGGGCATCAGGAGCCTCGCCCATGACGCATTCTTCGCGCGACGGCGCAGCTGGCAGATGCGCGAGGCGATGCTGCCTCTCCCCCTCTGCGCCCGGGGCCTTCGGCGCTGGTTGCTGCCTCGCCTCGCCAGGGTCGTGCTGGGTCCCGAGCTGCCGCTTGCCTGCCTGCTTGCGCGCCGTCTCCGCCGCTGCGGGTTGGCGCGCAGCCTCTACCACGATGGGCCTCTCCCACAACTTTGCCTTGGCCCCGCAAATGGGCGCGACTAGGTCTCGCCGCCGTGGAGCCCAGGGCGCGCCGACCGAGCTGTCCGCGTGGAGGACTGGGGCCGTCGCCGTCGCCTGCTGCTCTGCCGCGCAACGGCAGCGGCGAGCCTCGGCAGGCCCCGCAAACGCGATCGGGAGCCTGAAGCTGTTCCGCCCCAGCTCCAGCCGCGCGCTGCGTCGGCCCTTCGCCATGTAGAGCGCGCCTTCCAAACTGAGATTGAACTTGAAGCCCTGCCTGAGCAGCCTACCCGTGCTCGGCAGATCGTCGTTCACGTCGGCGACGGAAGTCCGCCGTCGCCTTGGTGCCCTCCTGCATGACCATCTGAACTCCGCGCAGGCCTGCCGTCGGCAGCGGCCTCTGCCGAACGTCGAAGAGCCTCGGTGCGTCCTCTGTGCTGCTGACGGGCGCACGCCTATCTTCGCCACCTGGCCGTCCGACCCCGCCGCGACCGAGAACGCCCGGCCGTCGGGCTGGCCGCGCCGCTCTGCTGCTGGCCCGACGACGCCGACGCTTCACTTGGACCGCTCGGGTGTTACCTGAGTCCTGCTGCTTCTTCGCGTCGTCTGTCTTCTTATTCCTGCAGTCCTGTCGCTTGTGGCCCCACTTGCCGCAGTAGCCGCGCTCGCCGTCGAAATGCTCGGGCGGGTGGCCCTTGCCGTGCGCGTGCTTGACGCCGTCTCGGATATTGGACTTCACCTTGGAGTGCTTACCCGTCAGATCCTTGCCCGTCTTGCCGCCAGACCTGTCCGTCCGTCTTGCCTGTCTTGCCAGTATTGCCGCCATCCTTGCCCGCGGGAAGGCCTCCTCGCACTGCGTCACCCTGCGTTGGTACAACTCCGCCCGTGTCGGGCACATGCGTGAACGTCCGCCCTTGGTTGTCGTAGCCCCTGATGTGATTGCGAGCCGCGCCGAAGGTAATCTTCACGTCCTCAGAGGCCTGTCGTAGAACCTCTCGGTGCAGCTTAGGCGCGTGCTCTAAGCACGCTCACGCGGACGTTGTCCGAGACGGCCTCGCCGCTCTGGTCCACGCACTCCGCCACAATAGCCTCCCAGGCCGTAAGTGATTGCACGAAGTTGACCCCCGACTCGCGATCTTTGGCCCCCTTGTCCTGTGGGTCGAGAATGAGCCGTAGCATTGCCGTCCATGCCTGTCCTGCTCCCGTACTCGATCTCGAACTGGCGCGACGCCTCGAAGCCACTCTTGCGTGAGAGCCTCACCACTCCCATCGCCTTGCCGTCGCACCATGTGATCAGAAGGTGCCACCGTCTCTGGCAGACCGCCTTCGCTCGCTCGCCTAACGCGTCGCTCGGGACAGGATCGCGGCTCTGCGCCGCCTCGGCCATGTCCTCGAAGCCGAGCAGCGCCGCGTATGCCTCGAAGCGGAGACTCCAATCTCCCCATCTCACGTTTGTGCCGTCGAACCGCTGCAACCGCACGCCGGTCCGGACAGCAACCACATCGATCGCCGCAATCGCCGCCCGCGGAAAAGGGCGCGGAAGGGTGGCACTCGAGCTCAACTCCCGTGGGCTTGGGAACCGAGCTCTGCTATCATGTAGCGATAACGATTGGTAGGCTTGTCATCATCGAAATCCTCCAAGGAGCCCAGCACATACAATCTACAACAGCTGCGCACCTTTCCGATTCCTTTTCGACATGTGGCCCTTGCCTTAGCGGCGCCCACACTCAATGTAACAATTTGTATAACAAACTGTTGCGGGCTCTTATGGCCAACCTTCCAGAAAAAGGGCGTTCTCGAACATTTCAAGACTGTCAGGGCACAACTGTTACGTGGATTCGCGGTGTTGAAATCCCAAGAACGGGTTTCTAGCACGACTCATGACCGTCAAGACGCAGCAGTCAAGTTGACTCGTGGTATTGAAGTCCTGTATGGGGCCTGTGAAAAGAGAGCTTGGAAGGATGGTGTATCCCACCACCGTTGATGAGTCTTGGGTTAATTACGCTGGTCCTCTCTTGCTCGTCCTCCTCTTCGTCCCCCTGTCTCCTCCTCATCAGCATCCTTCCTCCTCCACCTCCGTCTCATTCGACAAGTCCGCGAAAGCACCTACGGTTCACCGCCAGGTCTGGTTAGGCTGATCCCGAACTTCGGTCTGACGGCGGCCCCCCTCTTTGCTCCACTGCATGCTTCTACGCCTCCCACTCGCCTGGGCATCGTTCCTGGGTAGGCTAAGGGCGACATGCGAAGCGTCCAGAGTTTCCGCGCTGATCTCCACCCGCCGCCCAGGGGAGGCACGTCCAGAAACGTCCGCAAAAATTCCAACCTGGATCCTCGAAGCTCGAACCTCGAACCTGGATCCTCGAACCCCGAACCTCGAACCTCCGCCGCACGTGCATGGCCGAGCAGCCTCGGGCTTCCCGCACGCGTGTGGGCCCAAGGCGCGGGCGGGAAGCGCCAGGAGCGTGCGGCAGCCCTCGTGCGTGAGCAGCCGGCGCAGAACAAGGCCCTGTGGCCGGCTGCTTGCCATCCCGATGGGTCACAGGTTGAATCTGCACAGTTTGGGGGCCCCGCCCTCTGAGGAGGCCCGCCCTCTGGGAAGGCCCGCCCTCCTCCTCTTCCTCTTCCTCTTCCTCTTCTTCCTCCTCCTCCTCCTCCTCCTCCTCCTCCTCCTCCTCTCTCCTCCTCCTCCCCTCCTCCTCCTCCTCCTCCTCCTCCTCCTCCTCCTCCTCCTCATCCTCCTCCTCCTCCTCCTCCTCCTCCTCCTCCTCCTCCTCCTCCTCCTCCTCCTCCCCCTCCCCCCCTCCTCCCCCTCGGCGGGGAGGGGCCCTTCGAGGGAACCGCCGGAGCAGGAAGCCAGGGCACCCGCTCGAGGGCTGGCCCCCCGAAGAAAGAGACAAGAACGGCCTCGCCCGTAAGGGGCCAAGCAGGACGTGAGGCCTGGCGAACGACCCCGAAGACAAACAAAAACTTCTCAGAAGGCGCGAGGGCCTCAGAGAAGTCACGCCGCCTTCTGAGAAGGCCTTCTCCTTCCCACTTCCCCCCTTCGCTCGCCGCCGAGAGATGAAGGCAAACGTTCTGAGGCAAGATGGCGCTCTGTATGCTTCTGGAGCCGGGCAGCCCGTCATGGGCGCGGACCTGGGGAAACCAAGAGGTACCGATGCCGCTACTCCCCGGACCTCTCGGGGGGGCGTTCAAAGGCGAAACCGGCGGCGGCGACGAGGGCCTCCCAGGAGGCCGAGAAAGAAGGGGAGGACAGGGGGCGAAGGGCAGCGGTAAGTGTGGGTACCTCTTCCTCCTCTGAAGTGCTGGGAGACATCTCCGGAGGACAAACACTATCTGCACGAGCATAACCCTTGGGAGGGCCCGCGCGGATCTGCGGGGTCGGCGCTGGACAGCCCTCCCCTGGCCGCCGCAGCGCCATCGCCAGGAATGGCGCTGGCGCAGCGCCGGGGAGGAGCCTGACGCCAAGGTTAGGTCGGGCATTTCCCCCTGCAGGCGGACTGTGGACGAAAAATGGAAAAAATCGAAAAAATGCTCAACCAGATTGAACAAATCATCATAACATCGTCTCCAGGCTACTTTTGGACTCTTTTTGACTATTCCTCCTGTAGAAGGACATGCCCCACTTGAAGCCAAGGCCCGGCTCGGGCTCGGGGGAAGTGGAAGCCTCCTATAGATGGGGTCTGGGTAGATGGGGTCGGAGGATCGCGACGCATCGCCAAGGCATCGCCGATGCATCGGCGATGCCTTGGGGACGTCGGCGCGGAGAAAATCGGGCTCCACGCCGAACCGCATCGGCGATGCATCGGCGCTGCGGCTCGATCCTCCGGTCCCGCATCTGCTCCGACCCCATCTCTGAGGCCTAGAGGAAAGGGGCTGCGTGGTCAGCGGGCCCGAACGGAGACCGCAGAAGATGCGGCGAAGCTTCTGCACGGCTTTCTCAAGAGGCCAGTCCTTCCCGCGTAGTTTTACGCACGAGGCCCTCTCATGGGACGCACCTAGACATACTGGAATTAGATGTCCTCCTTGGAGGCGCGCGTCCGACCAGAACATTTAGTATAGTATACCCATATTGTAATATATCGTTTCCCGAGTGGTACGGCCAGAAAGCGCCTGCCACGACGCATATACTATAAGATGTCTTAGTGCGCGCGTCGCCCCTGGGGGGGGGCGACGCACACATGATATTTACATGCTGGGGTGACGCCGATCTCATTTGACAAGACCTGCCGGGTGAGCCACCTGATGAGTACGGCGTGCCATCGGCACATGGTGACTGTGGGAAACACGTGGGGAGTGAGACCGGGGTCTAGACCAAGATGCACTTGGACCGACACAGCGGCATCGCTCCGAGGTCCAAGCGCGCGGATGATGCGCCGGCGCCGATCAGACTCGGACCGTCAGGACAGCGCACCAGCCAGCGCAATCCCGACCCGAGGCGCACCGATCGAACTCCACTAAGCCAGCCGCAATCGGATTCGGGTTCGCCTCGCCCTCCTCCATCTGGTTGAGCCAGGCAAGAGCTTCGTTGACGCGGTCAGCTTTGGCGCAGGCGCTCGTGATCCGCCCGTAGCTCACAGAGTTCGGGGCCCGGTCTCTCTCCTCCAGGACTTCCAGGATCTCGACGGCGTCGTCAATCCTGCCCTCCTCGCTCAGAGCCTGTATGGCAATGTCGTATGGGGCAGTCTCGTCACTCTTTACTCCAAGCGTCTCCATGCGTCGCAGCAAGGCCACCACCTCATCTGAAGGTCTGCCAGCGTCCACGTAAGCAGACATGAGGGTCGTGAATGATATGATATCGGGCTGAACTCCGTCAGCTACCATCTCGTCAAGCCACATGGCGGCCTCCTCGGGCATGCCGATTCGCCTGCAACATAAAATAACTTGGTTGTAATTGCGCACGTCTTGCCGGAGCCCTTTGTCGCGTGTGCGGTTGAACCAATAAATCGCATTAGTGTACTCTCCTTTCTCGATCAAGAGTCCCATCAACGTGTTGCAGGTGGTCGCATCAATTTCAAGCCCTTGAGACAAAACAGATTCCATGGACAACTGTGCAAGGTCAGAACGCCGCGCCCTGGTCTGCGCCGTCACCAATGCGTTCTGGATCGTCTTGGCCAACTTACCCTTCGGTTCGAAGCCGTCCGCGAGCATACGAGTATTCCATTCGTTCGCCAAGTCTGGCCATCCTGCTACTGAGCAACCGCGAATCAGTGGGCCCCACTGGAGAATATGTTCAGGCTTTTGCTCGTCCCAATTGTCTCGAATGTAGCCCAGCCAACTCCTGAGCTCTTCTATGCGGAAAAATTCTTGATAAGCTTGCACTGCAATCTGACTAGCATACCGGTTAGGTCGGAACGGGCCTCTGAAGCTGAACTTGCCTCCTACTTCTTCGGGGATTCCCATCAGCTCCACCAATTGGGCAACGTCGCGCTTCTTGCCAGCCTTCCACAGAATTGTGCCGACGCTGCCGTAAAACATTGCGTCGGGCTCAACTCCAGCTGCTCGCATCCTATTAGTCAACTGTTTCACCCTCTTGACGTCTCCAGCTTTGGCGAAACCGTGGATCACCGTATTGTAGGAGAGGCTGTTGGGGCGAACGCCAGCTTCCGATGACATGTTGTGGAGCAACGCTGCAGCATCCTCAACCTTCCCTGCGGTAACGTAAGCTTTCATGATGGAATTGTACGTGTAGATGCTCAAGTCCACCCCTCTACGCCTCTGTTTGTCGAGCACGATCAGGGCCTCGTCCAGGTTACCGACCTCTGCCCAGGCATTTATCAGGATGTTGTACATCACAGCGTCAAGCTCAACACCCTGAGACTCCGCTTTGTGGATCCACTGGGAGGCCTCTTCGGGCTGGCCAGCCTGCGCATGGAAGGACTCTCAAATGCCCACGATAAGTGTTCGCCATCCGCCAACCCCCTTGCGGGTGCCATCAGGCTGCGAAACTAAGGTTTCAGCAATTTAGGAGCCTAGTCCGCATCAACGCAATGATGCAATTCGCAGCGATGGCATGTTCTTATTCAAGCTCAGCAACTCTTGCGACCGAGGGTTCCTCAGCTTGGCCACCAGCTCTCGACGCAGCGTTAACGAGCGTGAGACTCTAAACCTGCAAGACTGTGCAAGACCTCCAAGAACAAATAGCCTGGCGAAGGACCCAACCATATGCAGCTGCGCATACCGCAAGATAGGTTCAAACTAAGGGGGGGGGGCTAGCAGAAGGACTAGGGCGCGCGTGAAAAGGACGGAACGTTGCTGATAGGGTCGCAAGGGTCAGCCGCAACGGGTCACATCTGGATGTAACCCGTCACGGCTGATCTGAGCGTCTGTCGGCCTGGCCCTGGGGAGCAGCAGGGCGCAGTCTGGGGAGCAACAGGCGGCGATGCCTTTGGTGGAGCTCCTTTGGGCCACGAAACGTGCGAGTGTGTGCCAAAATGGGCGCGGTCACGCATGCGATAAGGGGGCCGCGAAACGTGCGAGGGTGTGCTGAAATAGCGGTCACGCATGCGATTCCCGCCGATGAAGCATTCGGTGGAACTACCTATGGGGCTACGTGCGAGGGGTGTGCCGGCATGGGCGCGATCACGTATGCAATTCCTGCCACTGAGGCCTCAGGTGAAGCTCCCCATGGGGCCACCCAACGTGTGAGGGGTGTGCCGAAATGGGCTGGAGAAGGCATGCGAACGCAGCCACTGGGGCCTCAGATGGAGCTCCCCGTGGGGCCACGAAACGTATGAGGTGTGCCGAAATGGGCGCTGTCACGCATGTGATTCCTGCCAGTGGGCCTGAGATGGAGCTCCCCATGGGGCCACGTGCGAGGGGTGTGCCCAAAGAGGAGCGGTCACGCATAGGATACCTGCCACATGAGCATTCGGTGTGGCTCCCTCTTGGGCCACGGGACGTGCGAGGGGTGCGCCGAAATGATCTGGAGAAGACACGCGAACGCAGCCACTGAGGCCTTAGATGGAGCTCCCTATGGGGCCACGAAGCGTGTGAGGGATATGCCAAAGTGTGGTGGGGAGGGCAAGCGGGCACAGCCACTGCGGCATTAGGTTGAGCTCCCTATGGGGCCACGGGGCGTGTGAGGGATGCGCCAAAGTGTAGGGGGGCGGGAATGCGGGTGCAACCGCTGAGGCCTTACAGTCGGGCTTGATTCGGGAGGACACGTGAGAGGACACAAGGCGCGTCCGAAGGCTACATTGCACGGGTCTCTAAACACAGGACACAAGGGTACCCTTGACTTGGCAGGGTCAACCTACTAATCAAAGTCGACTGGAGGTGGAGCTCCCTAGGAGGCCACGAAACGAGTGAGGGGTGCGTCAAAGTGGGGCACTGGCGGCATACAGGCGCAACAATTGAGGCCTTAGGTGGAGCTCTCTATGTGGCAACGAAGCGTGTGAGGGGTGGGCCAAGGTAGAATGGTGGCGGCATGCGGGCGCAAACACTGTGGCTTGAGGTGGAGCCCCCTTCTAGGGGCCACGAAACGTGCGAGGGGTGAGCCGAAGTGGGGTGGTGGCGGAATGCGGGCGCACCCAGGTGGAGCTCCCTGTGGGGCCACGAAGCGTGTGAGGGGTGCGCTAAATTGAGGTGGTGGTGGCATGCGGGCTCAACCATTGGGGCCTTGAGTGGGGCTCCCTATGGGACCACGAAACGTGTAAGGAGCGTGCCAAATTGAGGTGGTGGCGGCATGTGGGCGCAACCGCCTGAGGTTGAGCTCCCTGTGGGGCCACGAAGCGTGTGACGGATATGCCGAAGTGTGGTGGGGAGGGCATGCGGGCACAGCCACTGGGGCCTGAAGTGGAGCTCCCTGTGGGGCCAGGAAACGTGTGAGGGGTGCGCCAAAGTGTTGTGGGGGGAGGGGCATGCGGGCGCAGTCGCTGGAGCCTTACGTGGAGCTCCATATGTGGCACCGAATCGTGTGAGGGCTGCGCCAAAGAGGAGTGGTGGCGGCATGCGGGAGCAGCATCTGGGGCCTTCGGTGGAGCCCCCTGTGATGCCACGATAAATGGGAGGGGTGTGCCGAACTGGGCTGGTGGCGGCAGGCGGGCGCAACCACTGCAGCCTCCGGTGGCGCTCCCCGTGGGGCTCCAGAACATGCGAGGGGTGTGCCAACGTGGGGTGGGGCCGGCATGCGGGCGCCACCACTGGTGCCTGAAGTGGAGCCCCCTTATGGGGCCAGAGAAACGTGCGAGGGGTATGGCGAAATGGTAAGATGGGAGATGAGGGTGAGGGTGAGGGGGATGAGGGTGAGATGGGGGATAAGGGTGAGCGAAATGGTGAGATGGGGGATGAGCGAAATGGTGAGATGGGGGATGAGGGTGAGGTGGGTGGGAAGGGGGGCAGGAGGAGGGAAGGAGGGAAGGCGCCCGGCCCTGCTGGCTCAAAACGAAAACCCAACACCACAAAATGGCTGGCATAACAACATTCACAATCTGGAACCGTGTTCTCCCCGGGCTCTGTGGGCTCCGCGGAACAATTATGCTAACGGAGTTCCCCACATAAGGATGTTACGGGGTTGCACTGCTTCTTGTCTGCCAACCGCCCTCGCCTTCTCCATCTTCTTCTATCATCCCCCTCCTCCTCCTCTGTCTCCTCTTGGTCGTTGTGCGCCTCCCCCATCATCATCATCACGAAACCTGCTAAACATGATGTTATCCGAATGGATTGCTCGCTCAGGCGGGGCCTCCCTGGAGGGGTGGAAGGGGCACGAAACCCAATACATAGTCTGGTATTCGAATGCCCTGCTCGCTCAGGCGGGGCCTCCCTGGAGGGGTGGGAGGGGCACGAAACCTGATAGATAGTATGGTATTCGAATGCCCTGCTCGCTCAGGTGGGGCCTCCCTGGAGGGGTGGGAGGGGCACAAAGCCAAATAAATAGTCTAGTATTCGAATACCCTGCTCGCTCAGGCGGGGCCTCCCTGGAGGGGCGGGAGGGGCACGAAACCTAATAAATAGGCACGAAGCCTGATACACAGTATGGTATTCGAATACCCTGCTCGCTCAGGCGGGGCCTCCCTGGAGGGGTGGGATGGGCACGAAACCTGCGAAATAGTATGGTATATCAATACTCTGCTCGCTCAGGCGAGGCCTCCCTGGAGGGGTGGGAGGGGCACGAAGCCTGCGAAATAGCATGGTATTCGAATACCCTGCTCGCTCAGGCGGGGGAGGGGTGGGAGGGGCACGAAGCCTGCTAAATATTGTGGTATTCGAGTACCCTGCTCGCTCAGGCGGGGCCTCCCTGGAGGGGTGGGAGGGGCACGAAGCCTGATAAATCGTATGGTATTCGGATACCCTGCTCGCTCAGGCGGGGCCTCCCTGGAGGGGTGGGAGGGGCACGAAACCTGAAGATAAATATGGTATTCGAGTATCCTGCTCGCTCAGGTGGGGCCTCCCTGGAGGGGTGGGAGGGGCACGAAACCTAATAAATAGTATGGTATCCGAATACCCTGCTCGCTCAGGCGGGACCTCCCTGGAGGGGTGGGAGGGGCACGAAACTTGATACATAGGCACGACGCCTGATAAATAGTATGGTATCCGAATACACTGCTCGCTCAGGCGGGCCTCCTTGGAGGGGTGGGAGGGGCACGAAACTTCATAAATAGTGCGGTATTTGAATACCCTGCCCAGTCAGGCGGGGCCTCCCTGGAGGGGTTGGAGGGGCACAAAACCTGATGAATAGTATGGTATTCGAATACCCTGCTCGCTCACGCGGGGCCTCCCTGGAGGGGTTGGAGGGGCAAGAAGCCTGATAAATAGTATGGTATTCGAATACCCTGCTCGCTCAGGCGGGGCCTCCCTGGAGGGGTGGGAGGGGCACGAAGCCTGATAAATAGTATGGTATTCGAATACCCTGCTCGCTCAGGCGGGGCCTCCCTGGAGGGGTGGGAGGGGCACGAAGCCTGCGAATTAGCATGGTATTCGAATACCCTGCTCGCTCAGGCGGGGCCTCCCTGGAGGGGTGGGAGGGGCACGAAGCCTGCTAAATATTGTGGTATTCGAGTGCCCTGCTCGCTCAGGCGGGGCCTCCCTGGAGGGGTGGGAGGGGCCTGCCGACCTCTCTGCTCTGCGCCAATGCCAGTACCCGTTCCGGTCGCCAGCCCCTGCCCCTGTTGGCCATGCGGCTAGCCGCACCTGCCCTCTTCTCGCCATCGCTCGGACGTCCATTTCCCCTTGCATTTTTCGATGTCGTGCGTGTATTTTCTCGTACGGTGATCCAGTGTCCTAGCCGAGAAAAAAGGCACACGTCCGAGAGATGCCAAGCCACTTGTTGCCCGCATGAGTCCTTTCACTGTCCCTAGCAGCCCTCCCTCTGGCGCCACTGCCCGCTCTTGTCACCAACCCCTGCTGGCCGAACATTCTTGGCATCGATGCCTGCTGCCATCATTAGCCCTCCCCCCCTGCACTGGGCTCGCTGGCTGAGCCCCCGCTAATTCTCCAGCTCGTCATGCTTGGTATGTGGAACGCTCTGTGCCACTTGCTCTGGTCAGCCGTCCCAATCTGCAACCCCCCCGCCCCCCAACCCTCTGGCCCTCATACTGGCTCTGCCGGGCCTTTTTCCTCGCACGTACCAGTGCCCGATGCGCTCACTTTCGGAAACAACTCATAGAAACTGCTTCTCGTCCCAATGGCGCCCAATAGTTCGCCCAATCACCCGCACAGCGGACATGGTGCGTATCCTCCACATGGTCTGGCATTATGTGTTCGCTACTCTGCGCTGGTGGGCGCTATCGGGCGCTGTTGAGCGCTACTGGGCGCTATTCGCCGATACGCGCTTAATCCAAGACGAGCAGAAGCTCCCGCGATCTACTATCTGAGAGCACTGCCACCGAACTAGCCCCTGCCCACTCTTTGACTGGCGCCGCAGCCGCCGCTCGGGGCCAAAACTCGCCCCCGCGCGTCCCCCGGGGGCCGTCCGACGAGCCCCTTGCCATCACAACTGCCCCTCCCTGGGCGCAAGATGCGCAAATACACTGCCAGCCGCAGGCTGGCCCCAAAAAATCACCCCTCCGACGAGCTCGTCGCGTCACTGGCCTCTACCGCCCTTCCTGGGCATTGCTGATCCTCCGGCCGAATAGACTCCGCGCCTTCCGCACGGCGTGGCACCCAATAGCTAGATCCGAAACCGAGACGCCCCACACGAATCGCGTGGCCGCACAGGGTGCGGTACGCGGCCGCCGCATCCGACCACCCGTCCACTCGCGCGGTACCGTGCGGAACGGCACCAGGCAGCCCGATCCAGCATCGCGGCCGCAAGGCTTAGGTCGGGCATGTCCATACAGGCGGATCTTGGAAAAACCATAAGAAAAACAACGAATACTCTCAAAGATAGTCAAAAAAGAGTCGAAGAATCGTCCCAAGACTCTTTGAACATTCCTCCTGTACAGGAGCACGCACGACTTAAGCCTAGCTCCCTGGAGGCCGCTGAGTGGGTCAAGAGATGGAGAAATACGTGCAGTCTGCAGGTGTTCGTGATCCCTCGTGCCGTAACACACCCCTCTCCAAGCGAGGGGCGCTGCCGCTAGTTCTAACCAGGACGCCCGTTACTCGCTTTGTTCAGGGCCAGGGCTCCTGGGCGTAGGCGTTGATGATGCCAGCGTAGGCGCCTAGCGTCGGCTCCAAGCCGGCCGCCTCCATCCGATCGAGCCACTCGGACGCTTCCTGCACGCATTTGTTTTGAGACAGGGCGTGAATAATATGTGTAAACGACTGTGGTTCTGGCTGGAGGCCATCTTCTCGAATCCTGTCGAACCACTTGAAAGCAGCTTCCATGTCGCCTGACTCCGCGCATGCGGCGATCATGCAGTTGTAGTGAGCAGTTGTGGGACGCACTTCCTCTGTCACCATCGTCTCAAACCAGAGCCTGGCGTCAGATGGGCGACGATGTTGGACGAACGCGAGCATAACGTCCAAGAAGAAATTCGCGGTAGGTTTGATGCCGTCACCAATCATCCTCTCGTACCAATAATTCACAAGATCCGTCCGACCTGCATGCACGCAGGCTAAGGTCACTTCCACGAACGAGATGATGTCTTTGGGGTGCACCTCCAGGGCTACTCCAGATTTCGTAATAAAGGGAGGGGGGTCTCATTTCGGGGGGGGGTCTCTTCCAGGCTATCTTGGAGGGCCTGGGGGGGTCTGGGGACGATGTTTTGGAGGGTTCTCCCACGGGGGGGGGTCTAAAACTTCTCGTCTGGGAGGGTTGAGACCCCCTCCCTTTTATTACGAAATCTGGAGTAGGGAAACTATGGGCCCACCAGCCCAGCTGTCCTAGCAGACGGTGGTTCAAACGCGGCGTGATCAGGCCCTGGATATGTACTGGCAGACAGCTCTGGCCTCCTCTCGCGGAGCAGCACGCCCGAGTCCGTGTGGAGGTTTCTGCAAACCCTGGAACAAACCATCCTCTGAGAATTTTCTTAGGGTGGAGGGCTCAGGGTGAAATCCATATGGACTTTTGCACCTCGAAAATAAATCCGTCGTGTGATTCACCTCTTGCAGATTCAAGCCTCGAGAACCAATCGAAACGGCATTTCAGATTTCACCCTTTGCCCTCCACCCAAAGAAAATGCTCGGATCCTGGCGAAAGACTCAACCATGCGCAATTGTGGGTATCGCGATGCTGTTGCTGCTTGCGCTTTCGGTGGAACTCCCCTGGGGCCACGAAGCGTGTGAAGGGTGTGCCGCAGAGGGTGCGGCGGTGCCATGCGGGCGCTGCCCTGGGGCCTTCGGTCGAGCCCCCATACGGGGCCACGAAACGTGCGAGGGGTGTGCCGAAACGGGTGTGGTGCTGCCATGAGGGCGCTGCCACTGGGGCCTCAGGTGGAGATCCCTATTGGGCATCGAAACGTGTGGAGGGTGTGCCGAAACGGGCGCGGTGGTGCCATGCGGGCGCTACCACTGGGGCCTTCGGTGGATCTCCCCATGGGACCACGAAATGTGTGAAGGGTGTGCCGAAGTGGGCACGGTGGTGCCATGCGAGCCCAGCCGCTGTGGCCTCTGGTGGAGTTCGCTATGGGGCAACGTGTGACAGGTGTGCCAGAATGAGTGCGGCCATGCGAGCGCAGCCACTGGGGTCCTTTGTGGATCTCCCTATGGCTGCCACGAGACGTGTGAGGGATGCGCCGAAACAGGCGAGGTGGTGCCATGCGAGCACAGCCATTGAGGCCTTCGGTGGAGCTCTCTATGGGACCACGAAGCGTGTAAGGGGTGTGCCGAGCTGGTTGCGGTGGTGCCATGCGAGCTTTGCCTCCTGGACCTTCGGTGGAGCCCCCTACAGGCCACGAAATGTGTGAGGATGTGCCGAAATGGGCGGAACGGTGCCATGCGAGCGCAGCCACTGGGGCCCTTTGCGGATCTCCCAGTGGGGACACGAAACGTTTAAGGGATGCGCCGCAGAGGGCGCGGAGGTGCCATGCGAGCGGAGCCACTAGGGCCCTCGGTGGATCTCCCTACGGGGCCATGAAACAAGTGAGGGGTGTGCCATGCGGAGGGCGAGCTGGTTGCGGTGGCGCCATGCGAGCGCAGCCACTGAAACCTTCGGTGGAAATCGCTACGGGGCCAGCAAGCGTGTGAAGGATGTGCAGAAACGGGTGTCGTGGTGCCACGCGAGCGCAGCCACTTGGGCCCTCGGTGGAGCTCCCGACGCGGCCATGAAACGAGTGAGGGGTGTGCCGGATCAGAAACATGCGCGGAGGGCCGAGGTAACGATAGGAGGGGGGCGGAGGAGGGAGGAGCAGCGAAGAGTGAGGAACGCGGGGCGCTGCCTCTCCAAAACGAAGGTCCAACACCACAAGATGGTTGGGAAAACACCTCCAGGGCAGGTCTCTACTTCCGCTGGTTTCCCACCGCCCTCCGCCGCCCTCCACCGACGGAGCCGCCCCCGCTTCACATCCGCCGCCCTCCGCCGGCCCTCCGCCGAAGAAAAGGTGCCCGCCTCGAAAGTGAGGCTCTCTCCCCAGACCCCCGACGTTATGATTTTGTCATGACGCGACCTCCAGAGGTCCAGACCGATTCCCCGGGACCGGTTTTTCACCCCGAGTCGTTTTTTGACGGTCCCGAGGCCCGGTGAGGGCCCCCGGAGGCCGAAAATGAAGGAAAACCTTCCGTCGTGATTTTTTCATGACTCGAAGGGGTCTGGGTCTGAAACGCCCCACGGTGTGCGTTCCAGTTCGAACCTCCTCCTGCATCCTGTCCAGCACCCTCTCGACGCCCGCCCTGCCTGAGGGGGGCAACGATGCGGGGAAGACTGGCCGATGGGGGGGACACCTCGACCTATGACCTCGGCGATGCATCTCGCTGAGAGACCGGCGACAGGCCTCTGACTGTGAATCCGCGCGTTCCTGGGCAGGCTGGGGCCGTCCCCCCTCGGCGCTCCAGGGGCGCTGGGGGCCCGACGACCGATGGAACCCTCCCTATGCCTATCCCCACCTGTGCCTATCCCCCCCCCCCCTGTGCATCCCCCCCCCCTGTGCCCATCCCCCCGATATCGCTGCCCCCCACTGCCCCTCTCGACGTGGCCGACGATCACGCGCCGGTACGCCGCGGCCAGGGGCAGGCCAGCCTCTCGCATCCTCGCGGCGGGAGCGCCGGGCGAGCAGCGGGCACGGGGCCCGCCCAGGAGCGCAGGGCCAGGCCGGGCATTCACAGACTTGGACCTCTGGGCTTAGGGACCCCCCCACCGGACAACTTCTCGCCTAAACCCGACCAACGCCCCCCTCCTGGCCAGCGCACCCCCGCCCACGGAGCCTCTGGGCTTGGGACCCCCCCCCTGGACAACTTCTTGCCTAAACCCGACCAACGTCCCCCTCCTGGCCAGGGCACCCCCGCCCACGGAACCTCTGGTCTTGGGACCCCCCACCGGATAATTTTCTGCCAGAGACCTGCCAACGCCCCCCTCCTGGCCACGGCACCCCCACCCCCAGAACCTCTGTTTTGGAGAGCCCCCGCCGGCCAATGTCTCGCCCCGAACCGACCAACGCACCCCTCCTGCGCCCCAAGCCTGGCCACGGCACCCCCGCCCAAGGAGCCGTTGTTCTTGAGGTCCCAGACCCCCGACGTCATGATTTTTTCATGACGCGACCCCCAAAGGTCCGGACCCATTCCCCGGGACCGGTTTCTCCTCCCGAGTCGTTCTGTTGACGGCCCTGAGGGCCGGTAAGGGCCCCTGGAGGCCGAAAATAGCGAAAAACCTCCCGTCATGATTTTCTCATGACTCGAGGGGGTTTGGGGTCAGCGGGAAGGGGGCGGGGCCATCGAGGCGGGGGCCTTCCCCTCTCCTTGCCCTCCTATGGGCCCTCGGTCGCCCCCCCTTCGCGCCTCGCGCCCCGCGCTGCCCTCGACGCGCGGTGATCTCCGCAGCCCGCGCGCGGCCGCCGTTGCGCAGGGCAACTCTCCGGCCCAGGCCACGACGCGCGAGGCGCGATTGTCTTCGCGCCCCTGGCTCTCGTCTCTCGTCGAATCTCGAACCGTTGCGTTTCTGCCTCGTCCCCCGCACGTTTCGTGGGGTCATGGCCTCCTCCCCTGCCGCGTCGCACCCGCGTCTCCTTCTCACCCCCTTCTCCCTCTGCCTCTCCTCACCCAAACGCAACACCTGCACGACACGTACACGAGACACGCGTCTACATACAGCCGCACGCCTGCACACACTCGCACACACACACCATACAACGCTAGTGCACGCTTGGCGTGTTCACTGCATCATACACCCAAGACGTATGCACAACATACTGGGCACCCACATGGGGCACACTTCCCGATACGGCCGCACACGCATCAGACACACAATAAACATACACACAGCGCCACACTGCACCGCATCGCACCATACACACACCACACCATATACACACTCACACACACCACACACACCACGAACACAATCCACAGAACACACACACACATACCAAATACATAACACACCGCACACGCACGCACGCACGCACGCACGCACGCACGCACGCACGCACGCACGCACGCACGCACGCGCGCGCGCGCGCACACACACACACACACACACACACACACCAGACACTAGAGAGGGTGCGCAGGGGGTGGTCTCTCAGCGCGGCCTCTATGCCTGCCAGGGTCGGAGAGCGTGGCAGGCGTGGCACTTTCTCGACACCACAGGGGGTACGCTGGGGGTGGTCTCCCTATTCGTCGTGGGCTCGCAAAGCGTGGCAGGCGTGGCACATTCTCGACGCCATGGGGGGTGCGCAGGGGGTGGTCTCTGAGCGCGGCTGCTATCCGATCCGGTCGTCCAGGGCGTAGCAAGCGTGTCACTTTCTCGACACAGTACGGGGTGCGCAGGGGGTGGACTCTGAGCGCGGCCGCTATCCGAGTTGGTCGTCCAGGGCATAGCAGGAGTGGCAAATTCTCGACGCCGTAGGGGGTGCGCAGGGCGTGGTCTCTGAGCGCGGCCACTATCTGAGCCAGTCGTCCACGGCGTAGCAGGCGTGGCAGATTCTCGACACCGTAAGGGGTTGCGCAGGGAGTGGTCTCTGAGCGCGGCCGCTATCCGAGCCAGTCGTCCAGGGCGTAGCAGGCGTGGCACTTTCTCGACGCCATAAGGGTGTGCGCAGAGGGTGGTTTCTGAGCGCGGCCGCTATCCGAGCCAGTAGTCCAGGGCGTAGCAGACGTGGCACTGTGACGGCACCATGGGGGGTGCGCGGGGCGTGGTCTCTGAGCGCGGCCGCTATCCGAGCCGGTGGTCCAGGGCATCGCAGGCGTTGCAGATTCTCGGCGCCATAGGGGGTGCGCAAAAATGCGGTCTCTGAGAGCAGCCGCTATCCGAGCCGGTCGTCCAGGGCGTAGCAGGCGTGGCACTTTCTCGACGCCATAGGGGGTGCGCAGGGCGTGGTCTCTGAGCGCGGCCACTATCTGAGCCAGTCGTCCAGGGCATCGCAGGCGCGGCATGTTCTCGACACCATAGGAGGTGCGCAAGGGGTGGTCTCTGAGCGCTGCGCTATCCGAGCCATTCGTCCAAGGCGTAGCAGACGCGGCACTTTCTCGACGCCGTAGGGGGTGCGCAGGGCGTGGTCTCTGAGCGCGGCCGCTATCTGAGCTGGTCGTCCGGGGCAAAGCAGGCGTGGCAGATTCTTGACAACATAGGGGGTGCGCAGGGCGTGTTCTCTGAGCGCGGCCGCTATCCGAGCTGGCAGTGCAGGGCGTAGCGGGCGTTGCATATTCTCGACACTGTAAGGGGGTGCGCAGGGCGTGGTCTCTGAGCGCGGCCGCTACCTGAGCCAGTCGTCCACGGCGTAGCAGGCGTGGCATATTCTCGACACCATAGGGGGTGCGCGGGGCGCGGTCTCTGAGCGCGGCCGTTATCCGAGCCAGTCGTCCAGGGAATAGTAGGCGTGGCACTTTCGCGACGCCATAGGGGGTGTGACGGGAGTGGTCCTTGAGCGCGGCCGCTATCCGAGCCTGTCGTCCAGGGGTTGCGCAGAGGGCAGTTTTGACACGAGCAACAATGTTTTGCTCTGGCCGTCAAGGGTGATGATAGACACGGTGACTCCCCGTCATGAGGCCCGGATGTGCCGCGTCCGCGCGAGCAGCTCAAAAACTCAATGCTAGAGATGGGTGCCGAGGTGAGTTTAGATGGTTTGCGAAAATATGTTGACAGTCTTGGGAACGGCTTCGTACACTACGCATTTAATGCTTACCAGCGACATCTTCTACACTGGTGGCCCGAGACGCTCCTCACCAGGTACAATCAGTTGCCGCGTCAACGAGGCGCCGACAATGCCAGGAGGCAGTGTTTGGTCAGGTATTCCCCCGGATGTTTCGTAGGGTTCTGGTTCTCTTCCATGCCGCGTCGCACCCGCGTCTCCCTCACCTCCCATTATTTTCCTCCTTCTCCTCCTCCTTCTTCCTTCACCCACGCGCACCTTCCGGGCTCGCAAAGCGTGGCAGGCGTGACATATTCTCGACACCAGCAGGGTGGTCTCTGAACGCGGTTGCTATCCGAGCCAGTAGTCCAAGGCATAGCAGGCGTGGCACTTTCTCGACACCACTGGGGGTGCGTAAGGCATGGTCTCTGAGCGCGGCCGCATTCCGAGCTGGTCGTCCAGGGCATAGCAGGCGTGGCATATTCTCGACGCCATGGGGGGTGCGCAGGGCGTGGTCTCTGAGCGCGGCCGCTATCCGATCCGGTCGTCCAGGGCGTAGCAAGCGTGTCACTTTCTCGACACAGTACGGGGTGCGCAGGGGGTGGACTCTGAGCGCGGCCGCTATCCGAGTTGGTCGTCCAGGGCATAGCAGGAGTGGCAAATTCTCGACGCCGTAGGGGGTGCGCAGGGCGTGGTCTCTGAGCGCGGCCACTATCCGAGCCAGTCGTCCACAGCGTAGCAGGCGTGGCATATTCTCGACACCGTAAAGGGGTGCGCAAGGCGTGGTCTCTGAGCGCGGCCGCTATCCGAGCCAGTCGTCCAGGGCGTAGCAGGCGTGGCACTTTCTCGACGCCATAAGGGGTGCGCAGGGGGTGGTCTCTGAGCGCGGCCGCTATCCGAGCTGGCAGTCCAGGGCGTAGCAGGCGTGGCAGATTCTCGACACCATACGTGGTGCGCAGGGGGTGGTTTCTGAGCGCGACCGCTATCCGATCCGGTCGTCCAGGGCATAGCGGGCGTGACATATTTTCGTCACCATAGGGGTGCAGGGCGTGGTCTCTGAGCGCGGCCGCTATCCGAGCCAGTCGTCCAGGGCGTAGCAGGCGTGGTATTTCCCGACGCCATAAGGGGGGCATCCGAGCCAGTCGTCCAGGGCGTAGCAGGCGTGGCATATTCTCGACACCATGGGGGGTGCGCAAGGGGTGGTCGTTGAGCGCGGCCGCTATCCGAGCCAGTCGTCCAAGGCGTAGCAGACGTGGCATTTTCTCGACGCTTATCTTATCTTATATCCTCGCCACTCTCCTCCCTGCTCTCTTCTGGACTGGCGTCGCCAACGGTATCGGCGGGGCAACGGCCACCAACATCATTCTCACATGCTTCACTTCAGCTATCATCACTCCAGCCATCATATAAGTATGTGAGGTTCCTCGGTAGCGCATTTTTTGTGACACCCTACGACGCCGGCCGCCGAACAGGCGGCAGACTCCGCCGCCGCCAGCCAGGAGACCCGAGTACTGGCGTACTGCAGGTTCATGTCTTGACGACCCCAGCGTTGGTTCCTGACACTCTGGGGATCGTCCAACCATTAACGATAGGCTGTTTCCGAAACTTCAGAGCGTTCCACATCGACCGATTCTGGGACGCCGGCGTCGTTCAACATTGAACGCCGGCCGCGGTGTCGCCGCCAGTCGACACGACGCGAACCTACCGTACTCGAGCCTTACGTTTCCCCGATCCTTCACGCCGCGGGTCCCCAGAAGCGGGACCGGCTGATCACCCCTGTCGCTGCCGGCACCGTTGGGGAAGTCATCCGGCAAGGGTCCCCGGGCGAACGCACAAAATGCGCCAACCAACAATCTGACGTCGCCCCGAGGCGAAGAGGCTTGGCACCCCTCCTCCTCCTCCTCCTCCTCCTCCTCCTCCTCCTCCTCCTCCTCTTCCACCTCCTCCTCCTCCTCCTCCTCCTCCTCCTCCTCCTCCTCCTCCGCTCCTCCTCCTCCTCTCCTCCTCCTCTCCCCCTCCTCCTCCTCCTCCTCCTCCTCCTCCTCCTCCTCCTCCTCCTCCTCAGCCTCATAATCCTCCTCCGCCTCCTCTCCTCCTCCTCCGCCTCCTGCTCCTCCTCCTGCTCTCCTCCTCCTACTCCTCCTCTCCCACCTCCTCCTCCTCCTCTCCTCCTCCCTCTCCTCCTCCTCCTCCCCCACCTCTTCCTCATCCTCCTCCTCCTCCCCCTCCTCCTCCTCCTCCCTCCTCCCTCCTCCACCTCCTCCTCCTCCTCCGCATCCTCCTCCTCCTCCGCCTCCTCCTCCTCCTCCTCCTCCTCCTCCTACTCCTCCTCTCCCGTCCTCCTCCCCCCGCCCTCCCGTGGGTGCCGAGGGGAGTCACCACGAGGGGGGTCGCCATCGCCTCCAAGCAACGGGGCCCCCTCCCGCAGAGGGAGCCCCCCCCCCAGAGCAGAAGAAACAGGACATCCCCAGAAAGGCGCCCCAAGACATGCAGGACCTCGTCCATCCTCGACCCTCCCGCTCCGCCTCAGCCATCGCTTCCCAGAGGGAAGGGAGCGATTTTGTTTGAACCATGCGTCTCGACCGTTGGCTGAACCGCCCAGGGATATCCCTGGATAGACGCCGCAAGGACGTGAAGGACCACGTCCGTCCTCGACCCTCCCTCCGCCTCGATTCCCGCTTTCCTGAATTCGCCGGCCCAACGGGCCAGAGGCGTGCTAAGATCTCCGGTGACTGCTTTACAATCTTTCCACTTCGCGCGCGCGGGGCGGCCCCTGGGGGCCCCCGGGCGGAAAGTACCCCGGCAAGGTCCCGAGAGAGTCCCGGGAGGAGTCACCAGGGCGCTCCAGCAGCGCACCAACGCGGCTCCGAGACGTCCCCGAGAGCCCCAAGAGGGGCCAAGAGGCTTCCAAGAGGCCCCCAAGATGCTACATGAGGGGTCCGAGATGCCACAAGATCGCTCCAAGACGCCCACGATGGCCCCCAGACGCCCCAAGAGGCCTCCAAGAGCACTCCCGAGAGGGCCCCAAGAGGCAAAATTCACTGCTTTTCCTTAGGTTTTGGAGAGATTTTGGCGTTTCCACCTTTTCGGCTTCACGACACCCCAAGACGGCCCAAGAGGCCCCCAAGACCGCCCCAAGAGGGCCCAAGAGGCCCCCAAGAGGGCCCCAAGACGGCCCAAGAGGGCTCCAAGACGGCCCAAGAGGCCTCCAAGACGGCCCAAGAGGGCCCCAAGAACGCCCCAAGAGGGACCCCAGGGGGGGAACACGAAACAATATTTCGAGCCCTCGGCCCTCAGAAGTCCCCAGGAGGCCCCAAGAGGCCCCTAAGAGGCCCCAAGAAGCCCCCAACAGGCCCTCAGGAGGCCCCCAAGAGGCCCCCAAGCGGCCCCAGGAGGCCACCCAAATGCCCCCCCGAGCACGCAAGCAAGTGCCAGCGACGCTAATTACACTATGGGCCGGCGGAATGAGCGAAGCGATTCAATAAAGTAGGCGCCCTTTAATTCTGGGTTACGACCTTTGGCCGAGACCGCCAGGATCCCCCGATAAAGAGAGAGAGAGAGAGAGAGAGACGCCACAAGACGTGCAAGAGACCTCGTCGGTCCTCGACCCTCCCTCCGCCTCGATCCCCGCTTCCCAAACGGAAGTAAGCTCTTTTGTTTGTATGGGTTTCGACATTTGGCCAAAGGACCCCCCAGAACTGTCAGGATACCCCCAGAGACGCCCCGAGACCTGCGACACATCGTCAATCCTCGACCCCTTCCTCTGCCTCAGACGGAAGTCGGCGTGTTTTTAACTCTGGATTTCGACCTTTGACCGAAGGGTGGGGAAGGGAGGGTGTCTGGGCCCAGGCCGGTGCTTAGTCGATCTAATTTCACCAGTCGCGTCAGCAGACTGGGGGGAAGGGGTCCTGACCAGTCGCCAACAGCAGCCAAGATTTGTTCTTATAAGGGGGGGCGACCAGGGGGCCCGCGCCGATCGGCATAACAATGTATTAAACTTGAAACGAATATTACGTTGTGTTATCCCCCACGCACGGCAACAGTGGCGGGGGTGGAGACCATCTCTCTTCCTTGACCAGCGCAAACTCTCGCTGCGCAGTCGCCACCGGGAGGTCGATGGGGGAGATGTCATCCCCGCGGCCGCCTCCCACAAGCTTGGGTGCGAATTACGCGCCGTGGATCCACCATAAGAGCACCTCGGAGGATGTGGGCCTCACATCGACCAAGCACTCAGCCACGGGGACGTTCACCCGTGAAACTCGAAACATGCAATGGTAAGAACAGATGCGCCGATCGGGCAGCACCTGTTGCACGATGTCCAGATGGAGGTGGTAATCCCCCTTGGTCAGGACCCCCCCCTGACATTTGCCAACCTTTCCCCGCCCCGCCGCCCCAATCCCTGGGCGGGACAATCCTCGTGATCCACGCCTGCGCCTTCTCGAACTCGCCGGCCTGCCCGCCGGGCGGGGTCGCAGAGGAAGCCCCAGGAAAGCCCGGGAGGGGGAGTCGCAGAGCCACCACCAACGAAGAACAAACAGCGGCGTGACCATGCAGTCAGAGACCAGAACAAGGATGCAAGGCAAGGATGCAAGACCGCTGAAGTCACATTTGCCGCTTAGAGCTCCGTGGACGTCAGCATCGGCTGAGGATGGGCCAAATACGCAGGGAGGCAAGGGGTGGCCTCGATGAAGCAGCGCATCCTTACCATATCTGGATCTAGAGTGCCCCCTCTTACCAGAATAGATAGACACGAGCAATGCGCAGATAACAGAGACAAGTGGTTGATAAGGCAGCCGCAGCGCAGAACGAAAAAAGATCTCCGTGGGGTTGGCGGGCTGTTGGCTGCCGTCGCGGCCTCCACGCAGGCGTTGACTGCCTGTACCAGTATCACGGCATCGCGGGGAAAGCCGGCCTCGAGCACCCCCTCGACGTACGTCATGGCCTTGATCGGCTGCTCGTTCCTCAAGTGTGCGTCCACGATCATCGCGTGATTGATGCTCTGTGGAGGAAACCCCGCCCTCAGCGTGCCTGCCGCCAGCGAGTCGCGACCCGCTTTGGCCGTTGGAGGATACTCCTCCTCCTTCTCCTCCTCCTCCTCTTGCTAAGCCGCACGTGGAGTGCACCAGGAAACTGCAGTACATTGGCTTAGGCTCAGGTCGGGCCTGTCCTCCTACAGGCGGATTTGGAAAGAAAAACAAAACATAATCCGAACATAAACCAAACATCATCCAAAAGAGCACGACACATCGTCGCCATTCTATGTTTTGACTATTTGTGGACAAAAAACCCGTGCTCCAAATAATCACACGGGAGGATAATCAAATTCGGGGCTGCGGGGGCATAACAAACGATGTGTGCTGGCAAGTCGTGCGTGGGGTGTATGACGAGGACGAGGAGGTCGTCGTCGCCGTTGTCGCACGAAGACGACGACGACGACGTCGACCTAGCCCTGCAACACATATCGCAAGGTGGGGAGGACTCAGTGGGCCATGGAAACGACAGGGCCGTTTTTTTACCGGTTCCCTTTTGCAGTTTTTGTTGCTGGTTCCGACGCCGTTGTTTTGCCGGTTCCGTCGCCGTTTTTTGACCGGTTCCGGCTCCGTCTCCAATCCTGGAACCGTTTTTTTGCCGTTTCGGGTCGCCGTCTTTTTGCCGTTTCCATTTTCGAGGGACACATTTGTGGAAACGGTGAAAAAACGGCACTGCCGTTTCAGGGGCCCACAAAGGGGGAGGAGAAAGGAGCGATAAAGTGAGGAGAGGAGGAGGGGTGGGAGAGGAGAGAGGCCCAAGGACAAGTTTTCCCACGATAATCTAATTCGGGACGTAGCGTTTTTCTATGTGGGAAACCTATTGTTGTTTAGCCGTTCTCTACGGCCCATGGTGGCCGGCTTCGGGTGATAGCAGATGCCTGGGAGAAACTATTGTTCGGGGTGGGCTGGGGGGAACAATGAGAAAGGAGTAGTTCCAAGAGTAGTAGTAGTAGTAGTAGTAGTAGTACTTCTACTACTACTACTACTACTACTACTACTACTACTAGTACTAGTACTAGTACTAGTACTACTACTACTACTACTACTACTACTGATACTACTACTAGTAGTCGTACTAGTAGTAGTAGTAGTAAGTAGTAGTAGTAGTAGTAGTAGTAGTAGTAGTAGTAGTAGTAGTAGTAGGTAGTAGTAGTAGTAGGTAGTAGGTAGTAGTAGTAGTAGTAGTAGTAGTAGTAGTAGTAGTAGTAGTCGTAGTAGTAGTAGTAGTAGTAGTAGTAGTAGTAGTAGTAGTAGTAGTAGTAGTAGTAGTACGAGTAGCAGTAGTAGTAGTAGTTGTAGTTGTTGTTGTTTTGGATGTAGTAGTAGTAGTTGTTGTTGTTGTTGTCGTAGTCGTAGTAGTAGTAGTAGTAATAATACTAGTCGTAGTAGTAGTAGTAGTTGTTGTTGTTGCTGTGGTAGAAGAAGTAGTAATAGTAGTCGTGGTAGTAGTAGTACTAGGAGTAGTAGTAGTATTTGTAGTAGTAGTAGTAGTAGTACTGGTAGTAGTAGTAGTAGTATTAGTAGTAGTAGTAGTAGTAGTAGTAGTAGTAATAGTAGTAGTAGTAGTAGTAGTAGTAGTAGTAGTAGTACGAGTAGTAGTAGTAGTAGTTGTTGTTGTAGCAGTAGTAATAGTAGTAGTAGTAGTAGAAGTAGTAGTAGTAGTAGTAGTAGTAGTAGTAGTAGTAGTGGTAGTAGTAGTAGTAGTAGTAGTAGTAGTAGTAGTAGTAGTAGTAGTAGTAGTAGTAGTAGTAGTAGTAGTAGTAGTAGTAGTAGTAGTAGTAGTAGTAGTAGTAGTAGTAGTAGTAGTAGTAGTAGTAGTAGTAGTAGTAGTAGTCGTAGTAGTAGTAGTAGTAGTAGTAGTAGTAGTGGTAGTAGTAGTGGTAGTAGTCGTAGTAGTACTAGTACTAGTACTAGTACTAGTACCAGTATGCAAAACCAATTGCCCAAGCCAGCCCAACCAGCCAGCCCAACCAACCAGCCACCCAAACAACTCAACCAGCTCAACCAGCCCAACCAGCCACCCCGCAACCCCAGCCAACCCGCCACCCCGCCAACCCGCCCACCCCCGCCGCCTGCCCTCCGTCACCGTCAGCGAAAACCACAAAAATCACCCTCCCGGGGTCCGGCGGGACAGCGGGGGGAGCGGAAATCGCACCGTACTATGGGGGAGGGGGATTCGCGCCCGAAGTGCCCAAGGACGATTTGGGGCCTCAAGAGCGACACGGTCGTCACTTTACTACCTTTCACCGCACTGCCCTTCTCAACGGAAAGGCTCCCATCCGTGAAACAGTCGTCATTTTTCAGCCCCCGCGAGAGGCTCCTTGGAGGCCCCCAGAGGCTCCAGGAGGGCCCATGGCGGCCTCGGGAATGCCTAGGAGATCTCCGGAGGGCCCCAGGAGGAACCACTCTGCACCGCGCCCCCCTTCTCAACGGAAAGGCCCCCATGCGTGAAATTGTTTTCATCATTCCGCCTCCGCGAGAGAATTCTTAGAGGGCCCACGGAGGCTCCAGGAGGGCCCATGGTGGCCACGGGAGAGCCCACGAGGTCTCAAGAGCTCCCCGGAGGACCCACTTTGAATTACACTCAGGAAGCTCCAGAGGGCCCAGGAGGCTCCAAGAGGCCCCAAGAGGCCCCGAAGAGCCCAAACAGGCCACAGGACCCCCAGCACGCTCTAGGAGAGCCAAGGCGACACCAAGAAGCTCCAGGACGGGCGTCATTCACTCTCCTCCTCCTGCTCGTCGTCGTCATCCTTCTCCTCATCCGTCCTGCTTCAAATCCTTCCTCCCCCTCTTCCTCCTCCTTCTCCTCCTCTTTCTCCTCCTCCTCCTCCTCCTCTTCCTCCTCCTCCGCCTCCTCCTCCTACCTCATCCGTAGCCTCGATGGCTCCGATAGCGCCGTGCGCGAGATCCGCCTCCTCCCCATCCGTCCTCCCTCCCTCCTCCCTCCTCCTTCCCTCCTCCCTCCTCCCTCGTCCCTTCTCTCGGGAGCGTCACAAAGAAGCCCTCCGAGGAGAATTTCACGACAACAAGGGCGCCGACACGATGAACAGACACCACGTCGGGGCTCTGGGAACGGAGTCGAAGACGAAACCTCCGATGTTCGGGGCATTTTTCTGACCACCTGCGAGCCTTGTGGTGGACGTCTGGCGCAAAAACACGAGCGGATGAGGAGACAACACGACGCTCCACGGAGTAAACTGCACCCAATTGGTTTCTACCCCCGTGAGGGGCATTACAGGGTAGTAGTAGTAGTAGTAGTAGTAGTAGTAGTAGTAGTAGTAGTAGTAGTAGTAGTAGTGGTAGTATTAGTAGTAGTAGTAGTAGTAGTAGTAGTAGGAGGAGGAGGAGTAGTAGTAGTAGTAGTAGCAGCAGTAGTAGTAGTAGTAGTAGTAGTAGTAGTAATAGTAGTAGTCGTGGTAGTAGTAGTAAGTGTAGTACTACTAGTAGTAGTAGTAGTAGTAGTAGTAGTAGTAGTAGTAGTAGTAGTAGTAGTAATGGTGAGAGTAGTAGTAGTAATAGTAGTAGTAGTAATAGCAGTACGATCGTAGTAATAGTAGTAGTGGTAGTAGTAGTCGTAATAATAAGAGTAGTAGTAGTAGAAGTTGAGGTAGTAGTAGTACTAATAATAGTGTTGGTAGTAGTCCTAAGGTAGTAGGAGTAGTGGTAGTCGTAGTAGTAGTAGTAGTAGTAGTAGTAGTAGTAGTAGTAGTAGTAGTAGTGGTAGTAGTAGTAGTAGGAGTAGGAGTAGGAGTAGTAGTAGTAGTCGTAGTAGTAGTAGCAGTAGTCGTAGTAATAGTAGTAGTCGTGGTAGTAGTAGTAGTAAGTGTAGTACTAGTAGTAGTAGTAGTAGTAGTAGTAGTAGTAGTAGTAGTAGTAGTAGTAGTAAGAGTAGTAGTAGTAATTGTAGTAGTCGTAGTAGTAGTACGATCGTAGTAATAGTAGTAGTGGTAGTAGTAGTCGTAATAATAGTAGTAGTAGAAGTTGAGGTAGTAGTAGTACTAATAATAGTGTTGGTCATACTGGTAGCACAAAGACTAGTAGTCGTACTCGCCGTCGTCGTCGTAATAGAGTAGTAGTCGTCGTAGTAGTCAGAACAGTCACAGTTGTAGTGGCAGTAGTGATAACAATAGTAGTGGTCGTAATAGTAGTTGTAGTAATAGCAGTCGTAAGTGCAGTAGTAATTGTGGTAGTCCTTGCGTGGCCGATAAACATAGTCATTGTGGTAGTCGTAAAGGTAGTAATCGACGTCGTGGTCATACCCGTACTCGGATTTGTAGAAGTAGCAATCGTCGTCGTAGCCGCAGTCGTAGTAGTAGCGGTAGCGCTCGTAGTAGTAGTAGTAGTAGTAGCAGCAGTGAACAGTAGTAGTAGTAGTAGTAGTAGTAGTAGTAGTACTAGTACTAGTACTAGTACTAGTACTAGTACTAGTACTAGTACTAGTAAGTAGTAGTAGTGGCAGTAGTAGTAGTCGATGCAGTAGTAGTACCAGTAGGAGAAGCACCAATAGAAGCAGTAGTGCTACTACGACCAGTAGTAGAAATATGTAATAGTAGTAATCGTAGTAGTGGTCGCACGTCGTAGTCGTAGTCGTAAGTCGTAGTAGCCCATGCGGTGGTAATAATAGGAGCAACCGTGGTAACTGTTGCAGAAGCAGACGTAGTAGTAGCCCTAACCGTGGTAGGGGAAATAGTAGTAGTAGTAGTAATAGTATGTAGTAGACGTAGTAGAAGTTGTAGCCGTAGTAGTAGATAGTAGTAGTAGTAGTAGTAGGAGTAGTAGGAGTAGTAATAGTAGCCGTCGTCGCCGTAGTAGTAGTAGTAGTAGTAGTAGTATCAGTAGTGATAGTAGTAGTGGTGGACCTAGTAGTAGTAGTAGCTGTGAGACGGACAATAGTAGTCGTACTAGTAGAAGTAGTAGTAGTAGTAGTAGTAGTAGTAGTAGGAGTAGTAGTAGTAGTAGTAGTAGTAGAACTAGTAGTAGTCGTAGTAGTCGAAGTCGAGGTAGTAGTAGTCGTAGTCGTAGTCGCAGTCGTAGTAGTAGTAGTAGTAGTAGTAGTAGTAGTAGTAGTAGTAGTAGTAGTAATAGTAGTAGTGGTCGTGGGTTCCTTCGTAGTAATAGTAGTAGTAACAGTAGTAGTAGTAGTAGTAGTAGTAGTAGTAGTAGTAGTAGTAGTAGTAGTAGTAGTAGTAGTAGTAGTAGTAGTATAAGTATCAGCAGCAGCAGTAGTAGTAGTAGTCGTAGCAGTAATAGTAGTAGTAGTAGTAGCAGGGCAAGAAATCATAGTAATAGTAGTCGTAGTCGTAGTAGTAGTAGTAGTAGTAGTAGTAGTCGTTGTAGTGGCAGTTTTAGTAATAGAAACAGTAGTAGTGGTAGTCGTCGTGGTAGTAGGTGGTAGTAGCAGTAGTAGCAGCAGCAGCAGTAGCAGCAATAGTAATAGTGAAAGCAGGGGGAGCCATAGTAGTCGTAGCAATCGGAATTGCAATAGTAGTTAAGAAATCGAAGTCGCAGTGGTAGTAGTATCATTCGCAGTCGTAGTAGTAGCAGTCGTTGTAGTAGTCATGGTAGTAGCAGTGGTAGTAGAAGTAGTAGTAGCAGCAGTCGTCGTCGTAGTAGTAGTAGACGTAGTAGTAGTCGTAGTACTGCTCCCTAAAAGTAGTAGGAGTAGTAGTAGTAGTAGTAGTAGTAGTAGTAGTAGTAGTAGTGAGAATAAGAAGAATAATTTTGCAACGTCGATTCGTACCCTTCTCCCGCGATGATAAAGTTCGACCTTGACTCCCCACTCCCCCGACCAACTCTGTCTTGGCCGGAGTTATATCAACACTAGAGGGTTAAGGGGGGAAGGTGATGCCCTATTATCCGGGGAACGGGGTTATTCCCCCTGGAGAGGGACATGCCCGACTTACGCTTCGGCTTTCAGTGCTGGAGCGGTTGCAGAACATCCCAAGAGCATCGGACCCGCCCATATCCGTCCGTTGGACTCCCGACATCCACAGCGGCCCACCCGACAGCAAGACCAGACGCCCATCCTTTGGATGCTCAGGGGGGATGTCCTTCAATGACGAGTTCGCGACGGAACATTCGCGAGAAGAGCGCCGAGGCCTCATGGGTCAGGGGAGGAAGGCGCATGCCCTCTCGAAGGATGAGCACGACAGAACAGACAATCGAGGCCCCCAGGCCAGCAGAGTCGCGGCGCGGCCGGCAGTCGTGGGCAAATCGGTCCTCCCCTTGCGCGACGAGGAACGCACCGCGGTCGCTCCTGGGAGGTGCAGCGCCGAGGGAAACAGCGCTGCTCGGCGTGGAGCGGCTGCTCGGTCTGAGCCTGGCCTGGGCCTCCCTCGTGCCCAGGCTTCAGTCGGGCGTGTCCCCCTGCAGGGGGATCTTCGACGAAAAATCAAAAATACGCAAACATAGCCAAAAATGATCAACAATGCTCAAAAAATAGTCCCCAGACTGTTTTTGTTTTACTATTTTCGAATACTCCCCCTGTAGAGGGACAGGCCCGACTTAAGCCCAGGCCGGCGCACGCTCTCGGCTCGCCCCCCGGCGCGCAGCACGGTCCTCGTGCCGCCAGGAGGAGGGAGCCGTGCATCGGGGACGACCGGGCTCCCCAAGGGTCTCAGAGCGCCTCGGCTCCGAGCAGGCGCCCTCACCCACACTCAGGAGGGAACAAAACACACACACACACACACAGACACAAACATTCGACGATCCCACGGGGAAAACACAGGAACACATGGGAAGTGTGGGGGGGAAGGCGAGACTCAAGGAGCTATGACAAAAACATGGGGCATCCTCGGAGTCGTGTGTACTTCTTCTGCGTGTGCCTGGGCCACTTCCTGCATGTAGGGCACGGCCTGAGAACCAGAGCCTCTCGGGCCCGAAGCTCGCTCCTGGCGCTCCAGATCGCTCGGCCCGCCCCTAGGAGGGCGCCAACTATACACCATCACCGATCCTGGCCAGGACCACCCTGGGCCCAGGATCGGTGCATACGCCCTCCTGCCTGGGGCAGCAAGGCATATACACCAATCCTGGGCGCAGAATTGGCCTGGCCAAGATCGGTGTGGGTGTATAGTTGGTGCCCTCCGACGCCCCCCGCACCGCGCGGCGCCCCCGTGCAGAGCTGAGGCCCCGGCGCCTCCATGGCAGACATCCACCGGAGGGCCTCGGCGTCGTCGCCCGCCTTCATGCTTGCCTGGAGGGGGGCCGAGAGGGGGAGGAGGAGGAGGAGGGGGAGGAGGAGGAGGAGGAGGAGGAGGAGGAGGAGGAGGAGGAGGAGGAGGAGGAGGAGGAGGAGGAGGAGGGGGGTTAGGAGACAACTCATGGAAGCTTCTCCTGAGAACGACTGTGGGCTACGAAGACCTAAGAGGGGACCATTGGTAGGGGAACGAGCAATGACATAAACATGAAAACTCGGAGGGGCGGCGCCGCAGGCGCCGCCAGGGGGTTCCAGCGCCGATCCGAGAAATCCGCGCGGACCTCCGAGTTGCTGTATGTTTATGTCATTGCTCGTTCCCCTATGTACCCAGACTGAGCCCAGGTTTCAGCAGCTGTGACGAGAAGAAGACGGGGCAGGCGGAATGAAGCCGCCCGATGCAAGATTCGGCTGGCTTTCGGCCACGGATCTACCAGCGCTGATGCTACATATGATCGCGGGCTCGGGGTACTCGGGCCCCCCTCCCCCCAGATGGGATGGGTCCCAGGGTCCTCGGCCCCCCCCCCCCCCAGATGGGATGCGGGGGAGGGTAGGAGGAGGAGGAGGAGGAGGAGGAGGAGGAGGAGGAGGGAGGAGCAGGGGGGGGGGGGGCATCGCGCGGGGGGGGGGGGGGGGGGGGGGGCCCGATGGCAGCATTAGCATTGGGGGGGGCCCAAACCCTCGACCACATATAACCTCCCAGGACTTGCACCCGAAGGCGAGGTGCTGGTGCCGCATCCTGCCGCCCCAGGCCCCGCCCCCGAGTAGCTATTCGGTCCCCAGCCTCGCCTCACTCGCCTGGTGCACCAGGGGCGTTCAGGTGGGCGAAGCAAAAAAAATACCGATGCCCTAAGTGATGTATCTTTCGTCGTCGCCGTCTGCGCTGGGATCGGGGCCTCCGGGCGTCATTCGCGAGCTTCGGGCATCTTTTCCTGCGCTTTGGGCGGCTCCGGGGACCTCTGGGGGGCAGGAGAAAGCCCATCTTTCGTTGAGGTGGGGGTAGTCCGACGAGGCGGTTCTCACAGGCGACACACTGCCAGGGGGGGGGGCTTGTCTATTGATTCGACCTCTGCCTCCATCAACTTTCCGAACGTCTGAAAGTTGATCCTGATATCGTCCTTGCGCATGCGGTCGTACCACTCACGCGCGCGACTCTGATCGCCGCGGTTCGCCATAGCCTTCAGGACCGTGTTGTACAGAAGCGTGGGAGCAACGGGCCAGTCCTCAGCACAACGAACAAAACGACCGACGGGCGCGATAATTCACCGATTGGAGCGGGAACGGTTGCGATGATGGCGACATGCATTCCACATTCGCGCGTACATCTTGGATGCTCGTTCTGGTGACATTCCCTGAACCCTTCGCTCCAATCATGCGTCGATGCTGCGTCGAACGTCTGTCGACCCGGGTCGAACGCGAATCGAACTTGAGTCGGTCTGGAACCGAACTCGAGTCCTGGAGTCGACCAAGTCCGTTAGATGGGCCCCTGTGAGATCCCCAGCACCGAACATCGAAGACGTCACCCCCCATGCGATTGCAACGTCTCGGACTCCGCCGCCCGCACAGTGGCGTGCTTGATAGAGCTTCTTCCCGACGACCTTGTTGAGCCCATGGGCGGGGAGGGCGGGGCCCGATGCGGGCAGGCGTACGAGGAGGGGCACGTCAGACCCTTAGCCGCAGGAGCGGCGAAGGCCGCCGCAAGATACTTCGGTTTCGAGAATTATCTCAAACATGATCGGCTATTCCCACCAGCCCTCTGGGCGTGTGGTTGAGCGCGTTTCCTCTAGCGCCCCCTATTCATCAACACCCCTTCCCCCTGGCGACGGGCAGCCAACCAGGACCCATGACGACCCCTTCCCCCCCACCATCCCTGCCAAACAAAGCGTGTGACATGCACTGTCAGGCAAAATCTTGGGTCATGCTGAGGGGGGGGGGCGCTTTGTACTGTTGTTTGTCAGGGACGGCCGGGGTACCCGCATATGGCTTGCTGCGCGCAGGGCCACCACCCGTGCCAAAACAGAGTGCAACATGCATTTCGCGGAAAAATATCTGGATCGTGAGCGAGCGCCCAGCAATCACTCTGAACTGTCTTTGGCAGAGACGGCGGGGGCGTTGGCATTGTGCCTGCGGTGCGCAGGCCCACCGGACACCAGGGCGGCCACCCCGCCGCGATTGCGCTTTAAGTTTCGACAAGAATGGTAATTAAATCCACGCCCTGCGCGTGCCCCGAACGTGGCGCACCTGGCGCGGCTGGAGCATGCGTCATGCATGGCGCAAGTGGAGCACGTGGCGCATCTGGCGCACCAGGCATGCATGGCACGCTTGGGCCCCAAGGGTGCCTGGCGCACTTGGCGCGCCTGGCGCGCGTGGGCCACCTCGCACCATCGTCGCGCACGTGGGTCTGTCCTGGTTCCCCGTAGGCGCCCATCCCAAAACGACCGCTGAACATGCTGCGGCTCTACCGCATGAGCGGCCAGAAATTGGAATACTGCTTTTTTTCTCCAACAGTGGAGTATCAGCAGCAACCGCTCGCAACAACGGTTCCCAAGTCAACACAAATCATGTTAAGACTGTTCGTTCTTACTTGCTCGCGTGCCATTCCTATTGTTGCTGTGGCACCGTTGAACATTTCTGTGTTGGGAAGGCGGGTGGGAGTGAGCAAGGCGGCTTTCGGGCGGGGAGGGTGTCCTGACCCCACCCCCATACCCCCGTCATCTGGGCCTCGACGGGGGGGAGGGACTGAGGCCCATTGGATGAAGGGGCCCTGGGGCATACAAATAAATACAAACAAATAACCGGATCCCCCATATGTTCAAATATGTTGTTGGTGTTTGTCTTCCCCCCTCAGTTCCCATTTTTTCCATATTTTCCTCCTGGATGTCGACGACTAATTGTGTCTGTGTGCTTCTTTCCCTCCTGATTGGAACGCTCAAGATGGCCTCGGCGAGGAAGCAAAAAACAGTGACTTCACAGTGGTTTTGGACCAGTTTGGGCCTCCCGGGATTGCCCAAGAGATGGCCCCCAAGGCTCCCACGAGTGCCACAGGAGGGCCCCAAGCGGCGCCCAGGGACCCCCAAAATGCTCCCAAGAGACCCCCGAGAGGCCCCACGATACTCCCCCGAGGCACCTAGGACGCTCCAAGAGGTCCCCAGGACCGTTCAGAGGCCCCCAAGACGCCCCAAGAGGACCCCGAGAGGTTTTCAAGAGACATTCGAAGAGACTCCCACAGGCACCCAGGAGGCCTCTGGCCTTCCTGCTCTGATCTGGACACCTCCCCTGGCCATCGCTCCTGGATGGGATGGTGGTTTTACTTTTTGGTCAACAGGCTCGCGAGGCGTGTCGAAAGCCGTCCAAACACTAGTCGGGCCGCGACTAGGCAGCAGGAAGAAAAAGACAAATGAAGCGAGCGACCGGGCAGCCAATCAGGAGAAGAGGCAGAACCGATACTCCCAAACCCCGTTGGCGTGGAGAACACGGTGGCGACCAGCAAGTAAGCGCAGCCAAAGTGGCGCGGCGGCTCGACCATAAACACGCAGAGGTCAATCACTCGGCGCGAATCAGCACAAGGCACCGTCAGAGACGAGCAGGACCGACAAGTACACCCAGACGACAATGATAGTGGCCTTACGCGAAACGATGACGATTCGCCGGCCCAGCGGGCCAGAAGCGTGATAAGATCTCTGGCAACTGCTGTACAGTAATTTTGCTTCGTGCGCGCGGGGCGGCCCCTGGGGGTCCCCGGACGAAGAGTACCCCAAGCGCAGGTCCCCAGCGACTCGGGTCAGAGATGGTTTTCCTCCTGGGCGCCGCCCTCGAGGCCGTCCAGAAAACCCAGAAAGAAAAGTCACGAGGCCGCCAGGAATCCCTCAAAATGATACAAGAGAGCTCCGAGATGCCACAAGATCGTTCCAAGACGCCCAAGATGGCCCCCAGACGGCCCAAGAGGTCTCCAAGAGCACTCTCAAAAGGGCCCCAAGAGGCAAACAACACTGATTGTCCTCGGCTTCCCGACACCCCACGACGGCCCAAGAGGCCCCCCAACCCGCCCCAAGAGGCCCCCCAGAGGGCCCCAAGACGGCCCAAGAGGGCTCCAAGACGGCCCAAGAGGCCTCCAAGACGGCCAAAGAAGGCCCCAACCACGCCCCAAGAGAGGTCCCATGGGGGGGAGCACGAAACAACATGTCGAGCCCTCGGCCCTAAGAGGGCCCCAGGAGTCCCCAAGAGGCCCCGAAGAGGCCCCTAAAGGCCCCCAACAGGCCCTGAGGAGGCCCCCGCAAAGGTCCCCAGGCGACCCCAGGAGGCCCCCCGAATGCCCCCCCGAACAAGCAAGCAAGTGACAACGACCCGACGAATTTAAGAGTCCCCACGAGGCCACCTAGAGGCCTCCCGAAAGAGTCCCCGTAGACAGAAAGCTTCCAGACGGCCCGCGACGCGTTCAAGACTCCCCCAGCGGACACCAAGAAGCCCCACATGCCGAGCTCAAAGCCTTATCTGTAAACAATATATATATATATACATACATACATACATACATACATACATACATAAATACATACATACATACATACATACATACATACATGTGTACAAATACATATATACAAACATGTATATATGCATATATATACATATATATACATATATATATATATATATATATATATATATATATATATATATATATATATATATATATATTATATATGTATATATATACACATACATATATATATATATACATATACATATATATAAAAATAGAAGAGCTCCCCCCCCAGCACCCCCCAACGACCATTTTTCTCTTCCTCCTCTCTTATCCTCATCCTCCTCTTTCTCCTCTGCGTTATTTTCCTCATCGCTCTCCCCATTCTCCTCATTCTCATTATCCGCATTCTCCCCCTCATTCTCCTCATCTTCTTCATTATCTTTCTCCTCATTCTGCTCATTCTCCTCCTCATTCTCCCTCTCCTCCTAATTATCCTCATTCTCCTCCGCATTCTCCTCGTCCTCGCCCTCATTTGCTCCCCGCTCTCCGTCGCTCCTCCTCTTCCTATAAGGAGGAGGAGGTGGAGGACGATCTGGGATCTGCTCTTTCCCGATTGAATTCGCATTAGGAGTTTGATCAAATTCAATAGGAATTCTTTGGATCTGGGACCTGCTCCGTTCCTATGGAAATCCGATTAGAATCATATTCAAGGTGGAACCCTCGGGTTTTGGAATCTGCTCCGTTCTTATTGAAATCCGATTAGAGTCCGATTCAATGTGAAATCCTCTTGATCTGGGATTTGCTCCGTTCTTATTTAAATCCGTTCAGGGCCCGATCCAATTTCAATCGGACTCCTTTGGATTTGAGACGTGCTCCGTTTCTATTGAAGCTCGCTTAAAGCCCCGATCCAAATGCAATAGGAATCCTCTTGATCTGGGACCACTTCCGTTTCGCATTGAAATCGTATCCGAATCCTATTCAAATTCAATAGGAAGCCTCTGGATCTGGGATATGATTTATTTCCATGGGAATCATATGAGAATACTGTTCGGATTCCATAGGAATGCTCTTCATATGGGAGATGCTCCTTTCCACTTGAAGTCCTTCTCTTCCTCTTATTGTACAAATGTTTTGGAGAGGGAGAGGGACAGAGAGAGAGAGAGGGAGAGATAATCAAGGAGGGCTCCTCTCTCTCCTTCTCTTCCTTTTCCTCCTTCTCCTATTCCTCCCCTTTTAGTTAGAGAGAGAGTGAGAGAGAGAGAGAGAGGACAGAGAGAGAGAGAGAGACAGAGATAGAGAGAGAGAGGGAGAGATGGACAGAGAGACGGACAAAAGGGGAGAGAGAGAGAGAGAGAGATGGAGATGGGGGTGAGAGTTAGTTCCTCTCTCATCCTATTCCTCTCTCCGCCTCCTCTCCGCATCTGCGTGAAAGACAGAAGGGAATATAGAGAGAGCGAGAGAGAGAGAGAGAGAGAGAGAGAGAGAGCGAGAGAGAGAGAGAGAGAGAGAAAATTACCCTTCGACGTACCCAACCCACGTGCATCAAATGGCAAGAGGAGTATGCCAACATTAGCAGGAACAACGACAGTGTAGACGCCGCGATTTGCTGTGCAAGCTACATGGGATGCGCATGCGTTGCACGATTCACAGGACGACGATCAAAAGAACGAGGCTTGAGGCCCCAGGATCGAAGAAGAACGGGCACGGGAACGAGGGGTAGGAGAGGGATGGAATGGA